ATTTCCATAAATACAGTAATTTGTACATATTCTCTCCACCTCCCCCAAATAAGGATTTGCGAGAAATCTATTTTCCACAAAAGAGATTTGCCGATAATGTTGCTACGTTTCTATTTTTTATGATCACAATAATCCCCCAAATTTGGATAGACCTAAAATACACCTAACTAAAAACTATTAAGAAAATATAATGACAACACTGCATCTTTTAGAAGGAGCAACTAAGATAAAGTGCCAGCTCAACATGCAACGCTCAGCGCAGCACCGCGCGGCACTGAGTAAGTCCTAATAAGGATTTGCACAGTTAAGCTGCATTTTAAAATTGCAGCTTGGATTGGATTATAAGGTATTACACAATGTAACCATAATAATCCAACACGTGTTTCCTCTGCACTGTGCAAACTGATTTGAATGAAGTTTTGCATTAAGGTTGTTCCACGATGTTCACACTCCTTCACAGACTTTCTAAATCCTTCTAAATCCGCCCCTTTCTGTCCTCTTTACATTCCAACCAGCCGAGGTTGTCTCATGGCTCAACATCCCAGTGCGCAGGACTGTGGGCAGAGAGAGAGAGAGGGAGAGAGGGGGGGGGGGGGGGAGCAGGACCGGGCTGCTGGCCAGCACCTGGAGTCCAAAGGCCCAGAGGGGGGACACAAGTGCAGCTCTCCCCCGTCCCCGCAATGTCCACAACGATCTGCGTCTGTGCCGTGACTGATTGATCTGTGAGACTGACGCAGCCCGTCAGTCAGCTCCACCTCGGGGGCCTCAGCAGTGATGCAATGAGACCCTCGCTGTGTTCCGATCCGTCACTCACATGCTTATTTGTTTCCCCGATAGCCGGTGTGATGGATGCTGACGTTTATCACAAGGTAGCTCCGCCCTTTATGATATAGTTCTCTCCAAATGGTGCAGTAATTTACAAAATGAACATCACGCTGAATTGAACGAGGTTTTACCGATTTCCTGCCGACTGCCCCAGTGGGGGGGGGAGGGTGACGTCTTACCTCTGAAGTGGGAGTCTACAGGTTTGCTTCATCCTTTTGTAGAGCAATGTCTTCAGCCTTTTCTACTGCGGCTTCATGCGGTGATCCTCGCGCTGGATCAGTATCAGCCAAGACAGGGTCTGTTTGAAGCTTCCTATTACTCTTAACATCATATTAAACACGTGATATCTAACACCTGCACTGACATACAAATGCACATTGGGATTCACAGGCTTACACCAGCAATCAAGAGTTCGAATGGATGAAAGGGGAGTGAACCACAGGCATTAACAGCAGTTAACATAAGGAGAGCAATCACCGCGCCGGGCCGCCAACACAGTTAGCTGTGAACGTCTTCCACTTGTGTAAGAAGCTGTGGTGGCCAGGTGATTTTATTTCTGCTCAGCCCTCTCAATCAAAATCGCAATTATCCAAACGCGCCCACAGGGATAAGACGGTGGGGGGGCAAACCAGACGAGCAATATGAAGGTCACGACGGCTGCAATAAGAATAACAGCCTTGGGTCTGACATATTAGAGCATCTTAACGAACGCTTTACTTATTGCACATCTTTTGGAAGGACGGGGAGCAGGTTTGATGAATTGTAATTAACGAGAAATATTGTATATGTCATTGTGTAAGATTTATAAATCCATCAAATCACATAAATGTCACATCTGTGGTGGTAATTCCCTGCAATTTTGCATCGGTTTGTGGTTTGTGGACATTTGTGTGAATGTAAACAGAAATCAAGTTTTCTGCTCGAAACCTTCTGCACGTTTCAAACAATTCCCCACATAATCTGAGCTCTCTGCGATTTCGACGATTAAGTCCTAAATATTTCCACAAACATTGTACATGCCTTTCCGTCTGCTGTTCATTACGCTGCTGCTCTGCTAACAGGGTAGTCCTCCATTCAGACCCCGTGGGAAACGGCCACTTTGCTCCTAATGGGAAGTGGAAAATCAGAACTAACTGTGAACCCTTGACAGGGAGGGAGGAGGGAGGGGGGAGGGGGGGGGGCAGCGCATCACCAAGCGCCAGTGACCAAGCTGCAGTTTATTACGCATTAGTAGGAGAGCGTTTTAAGTTATCACACCCTGGTTTACCATTATGACTTAATGTGGAAAATGTAAAATTACTTTTCGCCTTATTTTGCTGTTGATGCCAGATTGCTCTGTAGCTCATTGCCCACTTGGGTTGGGGTGTGGTGCCTGCGAAGGCCACAGCTTATTATTTAACATATTTCTTTTGGTCTCAGCAGACTGCTCAGTGACCCCTCACGTCCTATGTTGAATCGTCTACATTTGTCACCACCCATTGATCCAAATCTCACCTCTCTCATCCTTAACAGCGTATCCGGGGTCGGGTTGCTGTTGAAACAAACGTCCCTTTTCCCGGCCTGCATCCAGCAGCTCTGACTGGGGGGTCCCAAGGCGTTCCCGGCCCAGTGTAGAGGGCTGAGAAAGCGTTCGCCTTTGACGCCATGCTAATGAGAGCAAGTACGTTCGTGAGGCGGCCGCGTCAGGATTGCCTCACTTTAGCTGCCATGAATAAAAAGGGCAATTGTATTCAAATTGGAGTGAAAACCTGCAACCGGGGTTTGAGTGCCTTGCTCAGTGGCACCTCTCAGCGCATCCCACTTATTTTGTTTGTTAAATACGTTTGACTTGTAGTTGATATACTTACGCATTTTAAGGTGCATCTTTCTTTTGCTTTAAATACATCTAATAATCTTATGCTTATACTGTTATACTATTAATATTTACATGATGCTTTGAGCCATTTTCCATTTACTTCCATCCTCTTCACATGTGACTCTTACGGCTCATCAGGTGATCATTGACATCGAGTCGTAACACGGATTCACTTTGCGCATCATCTCTTAATTAGTTCAATTATTCAATCAATAAAAGCGCGCCCGCTCCGACAGAGAGCTGCTAGCCTCGCTGTGCTGTTCTGATTGTAACACTTAATTGCATTTTTAGCATGTATAATATGATTACGACTACTGACAGCAAATGCGAAAAGCCTAAATCTCGCCATGATTCCAAACTGCACGGAAATTGTTTCATCCACCAAAAACCTGATTAGTGGCGCTTCTCTCTCTCCTGGTTCAAAGTGAAGATACAAGTAATAATAACCAATACATATTTTTTTAACAAACATATTTAGTGTCCAACCTGCACCACCTTTAGGAGAGGAAAGTAATATCAACATTTGAGACCAGTTTACTTCCATCTAATATTTAATTTCACGGGCCAATTTCCCCCTTCATAAAACAAGGCATGAAAGCACCAAAGGTTAGTCGACGCGTTAAAAGAGTTTACCTTCCTGTTCCAGCAGGACAACATTTAGATGGATTCTAGTATGCAAAACAACAAATCCCAAAAGTTTGTCCCGGGAGAGTTCCTGTCATATACAGCATTGGCATAAATCAGAGCTGAGTCTGGGGACAACAAGCAGACTGCGCAGGCCTTGAATAAAAAGGCAGTTTCATGAATACTTCACAGGGTAATCAATCAACCTTGCGTGTCACAATTGCTGTGTGTATGCTCGCTACAAACAGCCTAAATGTAGCCTCTGTCGCCGGAGCATGGTTGACGGAGCATGGTTGAGAAATCGAGTGACGGCGGTGGAAGTCAACCCCAATTCAAAAGAATACACAACTCTCACATGTTACGATTGCACCTGAATTAGCAAGGCAACATTCCCCGCGCGACAAACCGCCTGTTTCAGACCCACCAAACGTCACCGATGGCAATGGGAAAGGAACGACACTGGAGGCACTTCAATTCAAGAAAGTAAGTCACCACTAACTTTTGCATTTGCATGGAACACAAAGTGCCGTCCACTCCAAACTAAAGCTTGCAGGGCCTTTGTCCCGCTTTCTACTGTGTCACCTGACTCTCTCCTCTGCTCCCATCGTTGTTACTACTGGTGCCAGAGGTCACCGCCGTCCTCTAATGTTTGAATACAAGATAACGGCCTTCTGAATCAGGATTAGGTGTAGCAGGCCCCTTGTAACCTGTATATAGGACGCTGAAGGCATCAGCAGAAAGGCGTGCATATCATCAATATGTCGCAGCTTATCAGATCATTTATTGCCCTTACTTTGCCTTTATCTCTGCCGTTGCACTCTGCCCGACGTGCAGCAACTCTCACATTGCGCCCTGCATGGTTAAGTAAACGAGAGGTGCATCTCGCATCCTTTTCTTCGTCCTTCTTCACGTTTATAGTGGGCCAACGGGCTGTTGATCATACTGGGAGCATTAGGGTTACATTTCATACACTCAGTTTTAGAAAAATGACACACATACTGAAAGATATAGTGTACGGCCCATAGAGAGCTTCAGAGGTTCTGGTAGGAGTCTTTATTTCGATTGACCTCAGTCGGAAAGGATGTTTCCTGTCTTTAAGAGAAGATAGATAGAAGTAATGTGCATCTAGGAGAACACGACATCACTTACTGATGAAGATTACCCCAGAGAGCAGTCGCTTTCCATTGGTTGAGCCATTGGTATGTCTCTGTATTCCTGCAGCCTGTATGGAGTCTTGTTCCATGCCTCTGCTTCACCTTCTCAGGTCCAATTTCTAGTCCTATAATCCCAACGGTCGAGTCATACACAGAAGATGCTGCAAAGTGATCTTGAATCTGAAACATGTATTAACTTCAGTCGTGAACTCTGCTGACGCTAACGTATACGCCACAACGTATACGGGTCGCCGATGGCTGCAGACGCCACGGAGGAACATAGTGCCGACGACGTAGTCATGAAGAGCCCTCTCTGACCTGCACGCATACTGCACACAGTGCATGGAAAGGTCCAACAGGCTGGGAAGAACCGGCTGCAGTTTCCTTTTTGGTGAGAACACACTGAAACACATTAGTGCATTAAGAAAATCTTGAATTATGTGTTGAAAATAGTTGTATTTAATAGTATCCAGTGTGAACTACATTCCACTATTTTAATGTGTGTCAATTAAATAAATTCATGAAACGGTTTGATAAATGAATTGATCAGTGGAAGTAGACATTTTATTGCATACAAACCACAGAATGTACCACAGACTGAGACTAACAGGATTTAACGGGGACATTCTCTCTTCAAGTCCAGATCTGTGAGCAAGTTGAACTTTGGGAGCCGCTGAGAGACATCTGTTAGCTGCCCGAAGGAGTGAGGAGCCGAGTTGTCCCTGCGTGAGGAGACAAACAAGCTGCAGAGACGGACCGCTAGCGGCGCTTATTCATCGGAAGAGCAAAACAAGACACGTGGAGCAACGTGCAGCAAGCGGCTGAAGAACACGCTGCTGAATGAGCCAAATGCTGCTCAACAATCAGCAACTTTCAACAACAATATCGACTCCTGACCAGGTATGTTGTGTTTAATGTTAATGTTTAATATTCTTCAATTTAGCGGCCTCTTTGGCTTCATGATACCACCACCGGAAATTCAGAAATCATAAATTATGATTTAAACTTCCCCACATCATCTTGTCTGATACTCGGATTATCTGAAGGTCGATGAGCAGATGATTGCACTGCAGCGTTTTTATATTTATATAATAGTTTGTGACTACATTTGTGCTTTGAGTGTGACACTCATCATTCTACTGATCCAGGCATTAGTGCCAAATCTATTCAGTAATAAAACATCAGAATTGGTTGATTGCCACTTACACTCTTTTAGAACCTCAGCTCACATAATTCTCACGTAAGAACGCCTAACAAGGGCATTCTCCAAGTTACAATTATATTCAGTTTGAGCCTCGTTTTCATGAGAAGGACGAGTTCACAAAGCAGTCGTAGTGTTTTTCACGTCACGCAGTGAGTGGCTCCTCTGTTGTGAGCTCTTTGTTGGAAATTGGGGGGGGTCAAGACGACGGAACTGTAAATGACTTCACCGGCACTAATGAACAGGGCTTCAATAAACGGGGCTCGACTAATTGGACATTTCAATAACGGAACTTTAGTTGCAGAAACGAGATGAAGCTGCAGTTTATTTTTAGCGCCGTCCTTTTATTTTCGGATTTGCTCCATATGTGTCCCGTCACAGCGCAGCTGCTGGTCCCGTCGGAGCTCCTGTCGCTCCTTTAATTGCCTCCGATGGTAAATTGCTGATGATACACTAATCTAATCTACTGTACTCTACATTCACGTCTATCTGTCAGATCCTTTACTGATCCCAAAAGCACAACTTGTCGGGGCAATATCAGCAGCAACATTGCTCATTTAATGAATACAGTAAGAATGGGGCTGGGTTGAATCTCTGTAAGCTGCTTTCACCCACAGCATTGACAGCTCCGAGGGCTTTATTGAACCTTCAGTCTGCTGTGTGCAGTATCAACCCTATAATGACAAGAAAAAAAACTAAAAACACAGAAATGAAGATTCAAGGATCCCCTTTAATGAAATATCTGCGACCCCTTAAGTCCCAGTAGCAGCCTTCAACTTGGAAATACAAGTGAGGATATGCAACATCATGTGACAATTAAGTTGGGGAGGCCGTAGACAACGCAGTTGAAGGCTGCCGGTGTAAGAGTCCTTTTGTGAGGAGCGCGGCCTTCCTTCGAGTCCTCGCGCAGCACTTTCTCTAAAGAGAACCAACCAGAGAGAACAAGCCGTAACTACAGGGGGAGGTTATTCAGCCAAAGCCTCGCATCTCTGCTGAACCCATTAAAAGAATGAGGCGTGTGGGTATTTACAGTAAAGAGAAGTGCAAAATGTGAGGCTCAATGAGGGCGGGAGTCGGATAAACGGTACCATATGATGCTGTGACCTCACTGTCTCCTCTCCTCAGGACATGGACGGTCTGGCCAGAGGTCAGTCTGACCCTCAGTAAACCTGCGTGAACACATGGCCACACACACACACACACACACACACACACACACACACACACACACACACACACACACACACACACACACACACACACAATAAGCTGACGTAAATATTTAAGGGGGTTAAATTAAAACATTGAAGGTTAATAGTTAGTCATGGAAAATGTAGTCAGAGACATGTCCAAAACCTACAGTCTAGGACTTTGGTCATGCTGCGTGTGTTCTGAGGAAGGGTGCTGTGCCACTGGTTGAGGACAATACAGCCGACACCACCCAAACTCAGCAGCAGAGCGGTCTCCGGGGGCTTCTCCAGCTCCACCTGCGCTGCGCTGGAACAAAGAGACACGCCATTATCAGCTTTGTCTCAAAGTACAACAAGGCGCCTTTGTATTACTATACATGTTTATAAGATGCCAGTCTGAGTTAGAAATACAGAAAAAACTGCATAATGGGTCCTAATAATCTACATAGGATCAATTACCCCCATACGGACGTGGTCACTACGAGGCGTTTGTAGTGAGATGATGACAGACTAAGGAAGAGAGAGAAAGCCCCGTTTCTAGAAACTACTGCCAAAATAGTCGAACTCGTCTGTAGTGTAAAACAGGACCACGGAATTGCTTTAGAAGCTTGCCGTGATGCTGCTGTTGCGTTACCTCTTGAGCATGTCGAGGTTCCTCTGGCGGAGAACACTGGCACTGTTCTGAGTCCGGTCGAAGAGCAGAGCCAGGCGGCACTCTGGGGAGAGAAAACCCCACCATCATCATCGTCATCATCATCATCCGGCAACAATATTAATAAAACTCCAACAAGACAACTAAAAGCAGTATGACAATATTATAGTACAAGTTCTCACAAACGACATTACACAACACACATAAGAGTACTGGGTCCTAGACTACAATGCTCTTGAAAGAATATTAAAACATATGCAAGGTGCTTTTGACCAAAAGCAATGATGAGTTTCTGTCTTCACCAAAGTCCAGCACTACTTCAGGGTTCATTTCAAGATCATTTCCCTGGAAGGAATATGTAACTTAAGTCATACGACTTGTACACTTACATTGTTGCATTATTTAAGTATTAACAGTAGATACACATTGAGCTCAAAATATGGAAACAGCAAACCAGTGACAATTCAGTTATTGAGAAGATCGGTTAACAAAGCCGTGTTCAGAAGCTGAAGGGGAAGCACATTGTTATCTAAAGGCAACACGTTGACGTGAAAAGTCCGCGTGTGAGACTCCTACATTGGTGTTTTATTATCAGAGGTTGTTAGTTAATCCGATATGCTGCACACAACAGACATTTAATGGTTCATTATAGATGCAGCATTTCCACCATTTTAAAGCCGTCAAATTTGTGATTATGGGCAATACAAAATACATTTAATTGAACATCGATTCGGGCATTTAGCCACTGGGATCATGAGGAGGCGAAACACCTTCTTCTGTGACCTGAAACGTTGCATTTTAGACGCTTGGCTCCCCGCAAGGAGAAGAAACATCTCAACTGGAGCATTGTGACACCATCTCTGTAGATGTGACGCAGAGGCTTCTACTCCGCCAGCACCGGGACGAGACCTACGGCTCGGCTGGCTCCCCACACAACGACGGCCGCGTCCGTCCCTATTCAGCAGCTCGGGGCCAAAACATCGGCCCCCTCGGCTGTGACGTCCAGCTACGGTCACAGCAGAACGACGTCCATCAAGAGAGTCACGTGAAGAAGCGCCATATCATTACTTCAACCAGATGGACGTCATCGACGCAGCGGTACACGCGTCCCACACGGGACGGCAGTGCAGATGGTGCCGCACGTACTTATTTTTTTCTCCTACTCAAATCCGCCATCGGCTTATCTTATCCTGCCTAATTAAGGGGGGAGAGGCCCGCTTCGTCGTTGGGTAACAGCTGGAATTTTCAGACCATGGTGTTCGTCGCACTATAGTTAGCAGCACTAGCGCCGGGGTAGCGGGAGGGCGCATATGTCTGGCCCGGAGCCACGCGTCGGGCCAACCCGACACTCAACCGTCAATCACGCTGAGCGCGCCCAAAGTCAACCCATTCTGAAGGAAGCCATTAAGATGAAGCCCTACTGTTGTTTTGTAAAATCTCTTCGGAGAGCTGAAGAACTGGAAGGTCGTTCGGAGCAGGTTATTCTTCGTCTGATGAGTGCCGAGGGAGAGAAAAGGCTCCAGTGATATTGTGCTACGCGATGTTCCCCAGTTTGTGAATAACTAAAAAGAAAATCATTCGGTTTGGGTTTTATTTCCGCCAAGCTCTTGATTGACTTAAAGCACCACATAAAGAAAAGTAAATGTCTAAAGACATTAAGATGAGTGAAGTTGTGTGAATGTTAAACTGTAGCAGGAATCGGATTTCTCGCTACAGAACAGGGTTATATCCATAAATAAACCACACAGGGAATAAAAGATTGATGGCTTTTGAAGAGGTTAAGTCCACTTTAAAGCTTAATCAACAAAAAGTTCCACGCCAAATGAATTTACAGTATTCTGACGGATGTATTTATTCATAATACACAATTTAAAAGGCTATAAAAAATCTCAACAACCTTCAAGACATTTCTCATCCTTTCAGGTTTTATATGATCCAGCAACGTTTATATTGATCTTAATGGTAACTAGTTCAGCTTCATCAAGGGAAATCTTTTGTTATGTCTACCTCAAGAAATGGGTGTGAAAGTTAGTCAGTCAATTCCTTCCAGTGAGATGGAAATGAAAAGGAGCTTTTCACAGCAGGGGGGGCTACCATTGACCGTGCATTCATCAAACATGCCAGTGGGCTTTCAAACAGACGCGCTCTGATTTAACTAAGAAAACAGTGCATAAGATTAAATATTTAAGACTCGCTTGCACTCCTTCGCAGATAAACTACTGCTTGGCACAGTGCAACAACACCGTTAACACCCATTACTCCTCCAGCGCCTGTAGAAGAGCTTAAATGTACTACAAAAATGTTCATGTACTATAGAAATGCATGCTTATAAAACCCCTTGATGATGAAAATTTTCTCACGACACTTCTTCCTGTTATTTCTTCTTTATTACACTTAAAATGGCCTTTGAACAGTTGGATTTGTTTGGCATTCGTTTTATGGAAATATAAAGATAAAAAAAAAAAAAAAAAAAAACATACATTGATTGATATAAAAATACTGTACCAGACAGATCGATGGCTGCTAGTTTGGCAGGTGGGATGTTTGCCACGAAGCTCTCCATCCCCAGGTAAACGAAGGCACTGCAGCTGCACAGCAGCCGCTCCATCTCGGACAGACTTGACACATATTGGGGAAGGTTAGCAGCGTGCATGAGGTGCATCGCGTTGTCACAAACCACACAAAGACATTGCGTTCTGACCTGTGCGGTCCTCTGCTGCCCACGCAGCCCTCCCACAGATGGCTACAGTGCTGACTGTGGCTTTCCAAAATCTCCTTCACCCTCGTGCTCAGGCTGGTGCCTTCTGTGACGGACGGCCAACAACATGCGCGAATGATGGTTCCGTACATTGCTAAAGACTGAACTGGGAACTGAAATATGACTGATACAAGGCCACAAAAGCAGAATGAAACGACGTAAAATACTGTATTGCGAAGGAGGGAAGGCTGCTGTGAAAGGCTGACGTGCAGAGCGAGTCGTGGGCAACGACCGGCTGCAATGCAGCACAAAGAGGACATTAATCTGCACCGGTAAGTCCAAAACCCACCTTCCACCAAAGACAAGAAGCTAGAGCTCTACGCTAACAGAGAACAAAGCCTTCCCTCCGTCCCAGTACAGAACATTTCCAGACTGGGATTCACCAAGTCACACTCGATGCTTTAAGTATGTGAGGTATGTAATGTAATTCCGCTTACCAATGTTAACTTCATTGTGAGGGTCAACAATGCCTGTGGGGGTTTATGTTAAGAACAGTAATATTTGAAAAACATTTCTATGAATACATGTCAAGAAGACAAATACAGAAATACACCAGAAGTAGGTGTAATACTTAACAAAAAGATACATTTCATGTGACGTATGTCCACAGGGAAGGTGTTTGCAGGCAAATCCCGATTAACACGCATCTGAGGAAGTAAATCAAAGGTTTTCATAGCTAAACATTTGCATGTTTGCAGTACATACATACCTGGGGGGTATTCCAGAAAGCGGGTTAAGTGAAAACTCAGAGTAAGTTAACCCTGAGATCAGGGAAACTGAGTTATTCGTTCCAGATAGAGAGGTAACAAACTCTGAGTCAATCACCATGGTAACAGACACTGTGAACATCACCTGCTCGCTGGCAGGTTTACTATAAGAAACCCAGAGTTTATACCGTCTCCTCCCACATGAAGAAAGCTGGTAGACATGGATCGCCCTTTCCTACCGAATCCAATTGACACCGAAGCCTTAGTGATTCGAAATGCTTTGCGGCGCGAGAGAGTCTTCCGACCCAGATTAGACGTTTTATCATTTCCAGAGTAATTTCTGTTAGAACGCTACCGCTTTACTGGTAACTCGGAAACATATGGACGACATTCATGTGTCAAACTCCAAATTCCACTCTAGAATGTGAATGGGCAGAACACTGCCAGTAGATAATATTAAGACACACTTCAGTAGGCCCCTCCGGATCGCTCCCTGTGGCAGCTGACAGCGTTTCCTCCTCATCATCTTCCTGTTACTGAAGATACTGTTTCTGAATACTTTTAACTACCATCTGAGGCAAGATCTGAGTATCTGCAGGGGTTACAACTGTGCAGATGACACCATCTACAACTGTTGGGTGGGTGGATATATATTAATTAAAAAGTAGGCTATATACAGTGGGGCAAAAAAGTATTTAGTCAGCCACCAATTGTGCAAGTTGTCCCACCCGCAGCAGTCGCTCTCTCCTTCGCTGCTGCAGCTGTATTTCATTTGCGGCGAAATATCCTCATTCTCACCGTAGGCCTGCAGAAGGACCTCCAACTCCATCGCAGTGAAGTTGATTTATAAAGTTGATTTACTGCTTGCTCTTTTATTTACTGTTGTCATGGTGACTCGTGGTATCGGGGCTCCATTGATGATGGCTTTTTAATAATCGTCACGCACGCGCTTAACTCAAGGTGAACTAACGCAGATGAGCTGTTCTGGAACCGGATACTCAGAGTAAGTCAACTCTGAGTTCAAGGATAGACTCAGAGTTTGTTAAACCTCCTTTCTGGAATACCCCCCAGTTCTGACAAATATGAGGGGTTCAAGAAGAGTAAACAGAGCAAAATACATGCAAATAAAAAGGACGGGTTTGGTTGAAAAAAAACAACAACCCTAAGTGGTGCATGACGGAGGATAAGCGCTCAGAAGCTAGAAATAGGATCTTTATGAAAACACATTATGTAATTGATTAAAAAACACACTTAAAAGGGAAGCAAGAAGAAATAAATAATTGCCAGCGCCGACTGCAGGTAGAAGTAATATTGCCGTCTGCATCTGGCAGGCCCAGATTAATTTACTGAACTCACCACTTTGATGGCTGGGCTTTGATCTCCCTTCCCCTTATTTCCCTTGCCACCTTTGGTCTCCTTTTTGTTGTCACTTTCAACTGCACAGACAGGAAGCGGAATTAATACACACACTTGTCTACGGGGAAGATTGCAGAGCATTTGGACTGAAAAAAAATATATCAAAGTGTGACATTTATTGGTGACTGAAGAACAGTTCGCAAAAGTTTCCTCATGGCAGCAATATCTTGTTGTAAACACTGACTATTAATTAAGTATGGATTATTCAATTAAATTACCGGGTTTATCTGATTACTCCCCCCCCCACCGTTTTTGCTAACAAACCAACAAATTGTTTTACTTGAACAGAAGTTCTTTGACTAAACCAAAGTATTTTCCTTCCAGCGATCCTTCCGTTGGTCCATCGCTCCGACACTTTGGTCCTAGCGAGTGTCCATCTCCCAAAGGAGCCGCACCGCAGCACTCAGACACATGCTCTAGTGTCTGCCAAACCAAAATAATGCAATGTAACTGCAGCGCGGGTAGAACAGCAGAGGATCAATCATAACCTCTGACGGAGAAAACCTGCACAGGGTTTGGTCTGCTGGAATGAGCCAGTCGACTTTCATATCTTTGCCAAATCTCCCTGTTGGTTTTTGCACGAATATGAATAACACATACAATTGTCCGTGGTGTTGAACAACGTCTTTATCTATTGTGGGCGAGCCCACTCGCACCCATTACCGTACAGCCAGGTCCCACCCGCTAAAGAGTTGAAATTCACAGTAAAATAAATAATCTTTTTAAAAGACTGGCGAGGTTTTATTCAGAGCTTAATGAACCTTTCACTCATATTTTCTCAGATTGTTGTGTCCGAATAGAGAGAGAACGGAGAGGAGAACCATCCCGCTGGGCACAACTGAGTTCTAATAGATGATTTTGTGATGAAGAACCGCTGGTATCTCTATCCCTCCCTGACCTTTCCTCAAAAGGAAAGAGGGCCTTGGGAAGCCTCCCAGCGAGGGAGTTAATAGGGAAATATTCACTGGTGTCAACCTTTAACGCCAGCTCGGGGCGAATCTTTCAGACCTCTCTGTCTGAAGTTGATGGTGGTTTTATGGCCGAGACACCTGAAGTTGTTCAGTGTGCTGCACTGAAGCACAGTAGTGGTTTGTCATGGAGATGATTTTTTTAATTCCAATACATCGCTGCTCATACGGTTCAAAGATAAGAAAGCCAAAAAACTATTCCCATGAAGTGGAAATCAAGGAACAATATAGATATCGCAAAACAATTGATTTTGGATCATATCTCAACAGGAAATCTAGCTCGACCCGTCACCGACAGTACGACAGAACACCACTTCATCTGGTCATCTTTGACTAGGTTTTTGCCAAAAGGACATATTCTGACCATACGTTTGTAGTTCACTAATTTGTTGTTTTCTTGTAGTTATGTCTATATATCGTTCCTTAAAATAGTTTTAATCTCAATTTACGTTCCATTCCATTTGATTAAAATACAAATTCAAGACTATCCTTCCGTATAAAAATGTTATTTGTGTTTTTTTTTCCTTATTAGACAAAAAAAAATGATTGCAACAACATGAAGAGAAAAACAGTCCGACTGGCTTAACTAGTGGACGGCAGCCACGTGACCTTTGGGACGGGTTTGTGTGACCAGAGTTCTGCATATTGATGCTCAGAACATTCGTCCAACAATGCAACTGTACTGGTTCCTCACCGTCTCCTGTTCTGGGCTCCTGAAGAAACGCGTCGATGCCGTAAGGAGAACCTCTTTCTTATGTAGGCTTCTTTAAATTAAGTGTTCTGAGTTTCAGGCGATTATACACATATTAAAGATTGAAAATATACAGAGCTAATGACTTCTTTTTTTGCTTTAAGCAAATGCTCAATTTTGGTAGTTTAAGGCTCCTTTTTAGGTTACATGACAGTTGTGTATTTTTGCGGATAGCTGGCTTTGTCATAGAATTAAGGAATACTAGATAGAATACTTTTTATAAGAGATTGAACCTCCTAAAATACATAAGCATACACATTCTACATAGTTACTCCTGGGAACCTAAAACCTACAGTGGTGACTGTAAATTGCTCTGACGGCCACATCAAAATGGCCACATTTAATGGACAGCCTCTCCAGTGAAGCTTCGGCGTTGACGGATGTCCGCATGAACCTCTGCATGCCAGCAGGATGTGAAATGACCTTTTTCCCCTGAACATATTCCAATTCTATGGATGGCTGCATGCGGTCTGAATCCAGATGCTTTTGCAAATGTAAGCAATTCTTTATCAGACATAACGCGGAATGACAATTTATACTGTTAAAAAAACAACTATCTGATTATGAACGGTTTGATAGATAAGACCGTTAAGACTGCATCGTCCTATTTCTCCAATCAAGAAAGCTGTTCTTTCAGGAAATTTGTTGTATTTAATCTTTCATAGTAGGTCATATTTTTTGGTTTATTCCTGTCCTTTGTTGTGGTCCACCGGTTCAAACCGTTGCACTACTTTGTCGACTCCTACAACTGTATGTAGGTTTTCCACAACACCTATCCTGCAATTTATAGCAGAAATCTACTGTCAAAGAACTGGTGTGAATTGTATTTATTGCTCCTGAATAATACGTAATACCCACAACATAACAATGATGAGATTAGTAGAGTTGTCCCGATACAAAAAGAATTACTTTGATACCACATATATACGATACTGGTATATTTATCTAATAGTAAGAATGAATAAAACATCTGTATAGTTCCCTTTTTACCAGCTTGTTCCTGGCCAGCTTTTTGAACACTTAACAAATGGCAAACGACATAGTGCCATCATAGCATTGATTGTACACGGCTATGTAATGTAGCCAAAGTACTTTCAGAATTTACTTCTGCCACCTTTCTTTTTTTACAAGCCTTTGTATTAGTAATAAATAAAGTGCCTATTGGGCTTCAAAACCCGTATAGAATAAAGTTTGGTTTGGCATTGCTTGCAAACATTTCTGAAAATATCAGTGCGTGTGTGTGTCTCTGGTACCTTTGTCCGGTTCTTCTATGTTCAGGCGACTGTGGAGAAGCTGCAGGGAGAAGTCTCGTGAGACAGAACTCAGGCCTTCACCCTGCAGGATGGACAAGGCTTCCAGCGGCAACTCCAGCAACCCCCTGTCTGCCAGCAACACCACACACTCCCCGGGCTCTGCTGCTAATTTAGCTGCGCACACACACACACACACACACACACACACACACACACACACACACACACACACACACACACACACACACACACACACACACACACACACACACACACGCACACACACACACACACACACACAGATTTATTTTAATCTTCATGATCATGCTGTCCAACAACAACAACAACATGTACTGCTATAACATTGTAGAGGTTAAAGGATGCAAGATATTAAGTTGTGTGTAGATATACGTTTATCACGTAGAACACGTAAAGCCACATTGGCCAGAAGGGGGGTGAGCCATAGCAGGAACTTTGCATCTATGGCAACCGGTGAGAATCTCAGCACATGTTGGATGTTCATACGTTACACTGCTTGTCAGGATGACCACGAGGCCCCTAGGTGCTCACAGACACAGGACAGCTTTACCTGAGCTCCCTTTCTCGTCTTTATCTTTGGTTTTGGTCATTTCAGAGGCTGGTGGTGTGGCAGCCTGGGGTCTGAAGGAGGTTAGGACAGGTGAGGATCAGTAGGCCTGCATTACCTCGTGACTGACAAGATCATCACAGCCAGATTGCATGAGATGTGATCCAGTGGCAGAAATCGAGACATGCAGTCACTTCTCGTGAGCGAATGGAAATGCCAACAGAGGAGAAACATAACATCACAGGAACACAGGCTACGGAAAATATAGGAATTATGCCACGCCACAAAAGGAATACGTCACCTTAAGCAAGAGAAGTCAAACTGTGCGAGAAGTGGCTTCAAATAGTCTTCCATATCTTGTATAATTTCTCTGAAGTGAAGACCTAACATTCCTTCTGTGGCAGTTTTCTGTGAAGGAGAAGGAGAGTTTCAGTAGCCCTAACAAGGTCTTTTTTGGTTTCAGGCCACTAATTATTTCCATGCACACTTCTATATGCTTGGATGGAAGAATCAGCTGTCTTATTAAGAGACACCAGGTGATGCTGATTGCTGCGGAGTGGGGTTATTCATGAGACTTCCAGCGGGTAATGTTAATAGAGTGAAAGGAGAGCAGAGGTCTCAACGCGGCGTACGCGGGCAGCATCATGACACTCCCTGGAGGCCTCCGGCGTGCCCTCGGCGCCGCGCCAACAGGTTGGCTTGATGGGGGCATGTCTGGTCTCCAGGCCAAAGGCCCGAGTCCGGTCCCTCAGTGCCAGCAGAGCCTGTGGGCAGACGGAAACCTTGGCCACCCTGGAGCACGTCAGGGTACCTGCAACAACAGTGTTGGCGCGCAATCAAGACAGGCATACACACAGACGCATACAGGCCTTGTAATTGGTCCCCATGAGCACCACCCTGCCCCCCCCCTCACACTGGTCCTTTTATAAGATCTCCCTCTCTGCTGCTGCCACATCCCATTCTTTTTCCCCTCACTGTCTAGATGCAAGCATTTTTGTTTTTCCCTGCACAGTTCCAGCAACTTCTTATGTCAGACCTGTCCCACAGAAGGTCATGTGAGCAGGTGATACCGTGTGATGACTTGCAAGCCGGTCTTACATGCCAGGCCAGTAAGCAGAGGGGTTAAAGTATTTTCCTCTCTCCATCTCTTCATTAAATCGGGACTTTTCATCTGCCTTGCAAATAAATGTCACATGGAAATGCTAAATCATTTTGGCTCCATTGAAATGCTGACAACAAAGATACAATTAGTTACGTATGTGTCATGAATACCATATTCCCCGGGGCAATGAGACAGGCTAGACGCAGCATGAAAATACATAAATGCAGTAGGGTCAGAGGAATTGAAAATGCATCAGCATCTAACCTGCAACCTGCTTATTTTTTCCTTTTTGATTTGGAGATTTGGTCATGTCATAGAAGGCCCCGTAAAGTTCTGACCTGAAAACAAAAAAAAGTCACAAAATCAACTTTTTATTGGCTACTTGTAAACTGCATGCACTACTTCACATGTTGATTTTCAACATCTTCAATTTCAATTATGCATCTCTTTCCCTAAACAAATAGTTTCTCTACCAGCCCTCTAGTGGCCACTCTAACACATTGCAAGCCACTTCATCTTCAGATGCAGTCCTCCTCCAGCTCAAAACATATCGACTCATGTGACCTGCGGCCAGTTACTAATACAGAATAAAACAGTCAGAGGCGGTTAACGAAAGATTTTGCAGCAGGGCAAATACAGGGAAATATAGTGAGATAAAACAGACCAGGACAATGGAGAAATTACCCATCTTCAGAGTGCTGAAGCAGCAGGATGTTGAGGTTGGGTGGAAGCTCTGCAAGGATACTAAGGTGGCTGGGATGGATGGTCAGTTGGCTGAAGGCCTGCAAACCATAAAGTCATTTCATGTTCACAAATGTTACAATATCTTCTATAAACTATAAAGCACCCTATGTCCTGCGCACTGACCGCTAGCTGCGGCAAATAAGTCTGAGCATGATGAATCAACAGCGGTTTGAATACCTTAAACCTCTAAAACAGTAAAGGATTAAAGACGAATTAGCAGTGGATTAAATGTTGTGTTTAACAGTGGACTAAAAAAACAGTTACAGAAACTCAGTTTGGAATATAGAACAGCAGTTGTGGACAACAGTAAATCATTTATTCATTACTTTAATTATTAGAACTCATCTGAAAAATGAAGCAGTCAAACACCTCATTTTAGATGCACAAAAATTCCAGGTGCAATTTGTCCAGAAATGTCACAGATGAAATGATGACATTTCATTTACGTCCAGATGTACAAATGAGGATGATAATGTCACAATCAGTTTTTACTTTGTCATTTTCAAAGATAAAGTGTAATTTTCAATTTGAATTCCTTCTAAAGGCCCAATTGTTGCTGTTAACATAATTAAACAGGAGTCATTTCACTTGTGAAATTGAGGACTACAGTTCCCCTTGTCTGCAGGACATAACCCATAACCAACAGCGCTGCCAAGGTTGATCCAACCTATTCATTCGAAATGTTACAGATAACATTGACAGATAATTAATTATCTTTTACAAAATATTTCAATTCAAATTCCAGCTATATGATGTTGGTGCCACATGGCTGCAGCTGTTCTCAATTTGTCCCACATATCAGCAGCAATGCAAGTTTTGCAACTTTTAAATGTTTTTTCGAAGCTCCACTTCTGTGTGCAATCGCAGCCTCGGCCTTAACAGCACCAATACTGTGTCCGCATCCATAAATCGTGAGTGGGGGGCGGATTTGGTGACCCGGTACCTTAGAGAGTTCACTGAGGGAGTCCTCCGCCCCCTTCAGCATGCTGCTGGGCCTCTCCTCTTGAGTGAGGAGTAGTTTCCTGTGCAGGCTGAGCAGAGCTGATAGCTGCGACCCACTGGTGCCGGCGCAGGCAGAGCCGAGGACCTCGTTCATCGTGGCAACGGTGCAGCAGCTCTGGGAATAAACCAGGAGACGGGTGAGGGGCGCTGTTGGTAATAGCAGGACTTACAGTGGGTGATTACATACATATGTAATGGGCCGCGTGTGCAGAGACACTACCGATATACACTCAGTCGTAGGCAGCATATGTGCAACAGTTTCACACAGTCTTACTCTATGTGGACCGTCCTACAGAAATGAGCCTCGGGCAGTGGACGAGTAAATATGTGATGTAAACACCTGAAACAGGGCGAGGTATTGGCCCGACGCCGCAGGGTCAGAATGGCCGTGACACTCCGACATGTTGAGGGAGGCCTCGGCCAGGATGGAGTAGGGCAGCTTGTGTTTCAGGCACAGGCTGACGGCGTCGGCCAGTGCCTGAGCGGGCCTGTGCCAACAACTGCTGGGCTCTACGCCTCCTCGGCTGCCAAGAAGAACACACACACACGCACACACATAAAGCTGTGTAATCAAGCAATCTTAAGGGTTATGTAACCCTCACACTGTAATCATCACTACTCCTCATACTGGCTGTTACAAGATCCTTTCATAACATGTCTCAAGTGTTGATAATGGGGGAAAAGAAAATCTCTTTTTTACAACAAAACATGCTATTAGCTAATAGAAGTCAATACTATAAGTACTGTCCTGCTCCTGTGGACGGCAGTTCTTCCTTGAGTTAAGGGCGAGCGATGTGAACACCCGGCGTGAATATATGTGTCACTCAGACTACTGAAACCCATATTAACTTCTATCAACGTCCCGTTGGTCCAAAGTTTTTTTTTCTTTTTAATATTCAAAAATGTTGCCACATAAATAATACATTGCCCTTAACAGTAGATCTCTCTGCAATGACTATCGATGGGACAACTATGCAGAGCTCCGGGAGGTTTGAGATGAGTCAGAAGTGATGTAGTCACTTGGAGGGAGGTTTGTACCTGCAGATCAGCACTTTTAGCAGAGGTCGTCCTCGGCTCTCGTCCGCTTGATTCTCCGTCTTTCTTTAAATTCTCCTCAGCTTTGTGGTCGGACCAGGCCTCCTCCTTCACACGGTTGTTTCAAGATCACAGAACAATGAGCGTGATTAATATGAAACCCCCTCACGGTCACAAACCACAAAGACCTGATCTTCTCCGTCCTCAACTATGTAAGATGACATCAATCTCTCTAATCACTATGACCTTTGCCTCGTGGAGCTTTTTCTAGGTTATTTCTCCATTAATGTGTGTGCACATCAAGAATCCCCCAAAAAGATTCAAAAAAGTACTCCAGACGTTTTTTATTCAATAATTCTATAATAGTAGCAAGTTGTTCTTTTGTGGTCACAACATTACTGAAGAGTACAACAGTCGGGAGCAGAGTTGCTTAATGAAAAGACAGAGTTGCAGTTTGACTGTTTACAGGAGGAGGAAGAGATGTCAGAAATACATACTAAGTATGCCATACTTTAACAATGTTAGTTCTACAGCAGCTTTTTGTATCCGTGTTCAGGAAAGGATTGTAAGCCAGTGGTTTGAAATTGTATTTTCACAAAGAGAGGATACTCAAAAGAAGCAGATCCCCCCCCCCCCTCCTCCCCCCTTCCAGTTAAATCAAAGCGGGAGGCTGAGACATGTAAAGTACAGTTTGTTTGTTTTCAAAACACTGAATGATTTCAGATGGTATAGTCAATAGTACATTTCATAAACTCCCATAAAATGAACCCAGAGTCACAGAGGACATCATATATCTGTTCCGCACATCTTTTAGGAATCCAGTTCCTAAGAGGCAAAGTTCCCAAATCATAACATTAGGACCCTATTTGGTCCTCGGACATGTGATCCAAATAGATTTTGTATTTCAATAGTAAGAAACTGGAACAACATATTGTACATGATTTATACATATATATAGTTTATCAACGTGTGTGGTGTACGGTACCTGTTTGTGTGTGTCCCAGAGGGCACACAGATACACGGGGTCCTCCTGCACAGCCAGCAGTCTGAGGTATCTTCCCATCAGACTCCGACAGCGAGCTCTGGCCTCCATGTTGTCCGGGTGGTGAGAACTGACCGCAGCCAGCTGGCCGAGGACCACCTGCCCCAAAGTACTGCCCACACTCGCCCATTCCTGGACAAGACCCGAGGAAAGAAAAGTCATATGAGGAGATGAGGGGAAGACGGGCGATGTTCTCACAATGATCGACCTGGATCAGGACAGTTCTATTCACTCTTTTTTTTTATCACCACAAAAAAACTTCTATAAAAGCTGCTGACCAGCAGAACCGGGAGGGTGGAAGGAGGTCTGGTGCCTGTGGAGAAAATAGTGAATGTAGTTAGTAGTTTAGTTTTACGTTAGTCACTAATTAGCTCGGTCCGAGTGGACTTGACTCGGGTTCCAGGTTGGAGTGCAGAGTGTGGACTGGTAGCTGTAAAGGGGCCGGTTCACCTAGCGGGTACTGCTCACAAGCCCTTGAGCAAGGCACCTCCAAACGCTCGGGTTGTCATCCAGTGAGCCATCGCAAATATTTCTTCATACATTAATACATATCTATAAATGCTGTTTAGGCCTGCGTGTGATAAAACACGGATTTACATTTGACGGATTATCAAAGCATGGCATCTTTTTCAAAAGCTCTATAATAAGAATAATTGTGCACACCCACTAATATTAAATGTGCAATTTTACCCAAAAGGATGAGATGTGATCACATGCCTCTTCACGCTGGCTGCCACGACTATTTCGATTAGATTTTGAGATTTTAGAGTTTACTTTTAGGTCTCTCCATGATCTCTCTCCCTCCGAGGTCTCTGGGGGCCGTGGTACATGCTTTTACTTTTTCAACGGGCACGTCTGCCAACCAAAGGAGACGGATGGCTGTCAGGGCCTCGAGGCTCTGCGATTATCTGCCTGGGGAAATCAAGTTGGTTGATGCAGGAGAATCCTAAAAGTCCCTTCTAAAAAAAAAAAAAAAAAAAGCGTTTATAATTTACTTTGAACTGTCATTCATATTACCTTTTTATACCAGACGGCCGAGAACACGGTGGAGGAGAGCAGTCTCGGAATGGCTTTGTGGCTGCACTTGTTAAGTTTTAACAGTGATTGATGACACACAACTGCTAAACTGTTGGGGGAGAATTGGTTGAGCTGCAAATTGTGAGTGTCTCAAGAACTTGGGGTGTGACCTTTCTTGGAAAACTCGTGACCTGACCTAGTTCACAATGGCATCCTGTTTTGTGAAGATAGGTGCCTTGACTGATCCAGATCATGTTTTTCTCTGTCCGTCTTACATGACAAGGCCCCATTGAGGGAGGGTCACGGGCGTCTCCCAACGACATCTGTTTACAACTAATCTTCCTGTTGCAGGGGGGGCGGGTCTTCTGCTTGCCTTGTCACAAACTTTTTAGAGGTTTATAAAAGCTCCTGTTCTCCCCCAGAAACTTGGTCAGATCTTCTAGCTCCTCTGTGGGAGAAAGAACAATCTGCCCCTTTTCAGCTGAATTGTAGTCATTGGACTTCTGTCTGTACTCACGGCTTGTGTTGATGATTTTGGTATTCTTATGATTCTTCTATATTCTAGTTAGTAATAAATACTTAAATCACAAAGCAAGTTCAAAATACTTTTGATTTCTCACAAGGGCTTAATCCACAAATTTCCACCACACTAACAAAGTACTTTACGTGGTTATTTGAAAGCACACCGTGAGGGCAGCGTGAAAAAAAACTACAGATGCAGAAGCTCAAAAAACATTTTAATGTTTCATTTGTTTGTCTGTGGTCGCAGATGAGAGCTATGAAGTACAAAAAAAGGCCTGGTGTTACTTTGCATGTTAGCGTCCCCAAGTGGCAAAGATACGCAACTAACCTTCTGACCTCTACGGAGAGCCGGACTCCATCAACATGCACCGGAGACGAGTTGATGTTGAGGGCAATATTTTGAATCCTTTGAAGTGTAAATTTGTCACTTCCTGTGCCCTAAAGACATTTTGTCAACAAGACTGAAACGTGTGTGTGACTTACTTGGGGATGGAAGAGATTACGAAAAACAAAAATACGCTGCAGCGTCATTTAGAAAGCATTACCAGTTCATTCAGGTGTTATATAAAATAGCTTTGGCATAATCTGTCCATTTGCTACATGAATGGATCCTTCTGTACCAACTAACCTCTTCTATGGAGTTGGGCTCAGGTGTGCAGCGTGTAAACTCCTCCAGTGCTTTCTCAGCGGAGGTTTTCCTCTCGCGGGCCAGAGCTTGGCGTTTCTCCTCAAGGCTGTGCTCCTCCAGCACGGTCAGGCCAAACTGTGCCAGGGCCAGCCGGAGGCGCAGCAGCCTGCGCATGGCTGCCAGAGACACTGCAGGGCTCTGGTGAGGATGAAAGGGTCAAAATAACCCCAATTAGATACATGCACGCCCACACAAGCAGCTATAAATGATGCCAGGACACACACACCTGAGAGGTATACATCAGTGGGTTTGAGACATGAGACTGACATAAGGAAGTGAGTTTTAAATAATTAAGAAAACTCAAGAGTCTGCTTTCCTATTTAACTGGGCTGGTAATTTGCCATCAGAAGAATATGGCAAAGCCAGACTGCTATTGAAATACTAACTGGAACAATTGATGAGATTACAGAAAATAATGAACTTAAGACGTGTGACACATGGCAAAGAGAAACAAGAGATATGGATGGAATGTTTGGAAAACCTTTGGAACAAAATGCCTACATACATACATGCATACATACATACATACATGCATAGATACATACATACATGAAGCTGAAAAGGAGTAACTGAGCGTGATTCCAGTGATCACAGCGGTTGACTCTTGTGTAGGTTGGATTGCACCGGTGCATCTACTGAAGCGGCAATGAATATGAATGCTGATAAATGTCACCTCTGCTAATCTCACCCACGTGTTTTGGCCTTATCTCCGTTTTGGAAGTTTATCTTTTTGACTCACTCTCAGTCATCACATCTTTTCACAGCCACTGACCCATTTTGTGAGATATTCCTCACACTGCTGGTTGTCACCCCTCTCATTAACATAGGATGAACGATGCCTCATCCTTTGTGAAATTAGAAAAGAAAAAAATGAATGGGTTTGTGTGTTGTTTTGTTGCTGTTGTCAATCGAAAATCTAATCAAAAACTGAACAGCAAGATTTCGCAGCAGGTTCTGAGAGTTGTTCATTCGTGATTCGATCAGCATGTAAATGAGGGCAGCAGCAGCAGCAGCAGCAGCAGCCGGGGTCACGCCGAGCCATCTCTGGCACCGACGCGCTCAGATAACCACACCTGTGTGACAGCTTGTGTTAGTGTCTGGATAGAACAGGATTTGTAGAACCCATCTGATGTTGACAAGAAACAGCGATAGAGGCTTAACCTGTTTGAGTCCGAACATCTGAGTTACAAACAGCAATGCATACAACAGGGCTTTAATAGCCTCATGCAGCGGCTTGATCTTGATTTAGTTAATTGGGAGTATTTTGGTAACGACATTCGGATGGCAAAATCAAAGCCTCTCGCCGTCATTTATCCACACAAAGTGCTTTTCACAGGAAAATCCTTTCTTCTCCCGGCACTGAAAAACACGGCGGCATATTTATTTTTACATTACATGTCATTTAGCCGACGCTTTTATCCAAAGCGACTTACAAGAGATTCCACAAATTTCACAAATACAAGAAATTTTACAAATGAAATTTCGTTAAATAAGCCAATTTACAACTTGCTATAGATAAGAGGCATTATACCGTATTTTCGGGACTATAGAGCACCCCTGAATATAAGCCGCACCACCTAAGTTTAGAAAGAAAAGAAAATGTGTACATATACAAGCCGCACCTGTCCACGTTGTAATATGAGATATTTACACTTTTTTTTAAAAGAGTTTTTTTATTTTTAATCACCGGAAATAAATGTATTTTTCCAAAAAGTGCCTCTAACGTGGCTCTAAACCTGCAGTAACCAAAGTTTGGGCTTTCAGTCGGATGTGCACATTGGAAACACCTCGGGCGTCTGCTCTCCGTGTGTTCACCCAGTCTTCAAGAACGTTTTCGGGCCATCTGCTTTAACTTCCTCTCAAAGCTTTTGTCGTCTTTTTACATCTAGTAAGTTCCTCACATTGCCGTCACCAACATCTCACCACAGTTTACCAACCTCTTCCTGTGGGGGGAGCAGCGTCTGAGCCTTCAGCGCCACATGTTCCTGCTCTGTAACAGCCAGCTGCATTTGGGAGAGGCCATTGAGCAGGTAGTGCTGTTTGTCTTCTGCATGAGTAGATCGGTTGGCTAGCATTCTGAGGAGGAATATTGTGAAGGGTCAACAAAGATGGGAAAAATAAGTAGGGTTATGTGAGTGAGACAACTGTGTCAAGTGAAGTATTCAAGAGCAGAATGGGCCTCGTGTATGAACCAATTAAACAAGTGAATGTGTCATGTCTTGCTTTAAAAACTTAATTCGCAGATTTCCTGGTAATTAATTCATGAGTGGTCGGGACCTAAAAGCATATTCCCTTATATTAATTAAAATATGAGACAAACTTATACATTAATAATATTCTGTTTTAATATCATCGTTGTAGTTTGATCTAAAGGCGGATTTGTTAGATTAAGTTAGATTTTGCAGCACAGCATCATACTGTCGTCCTCCAATCAGAAGGTTGGCGGTTCGATCCCTGTCCTTGTGTCCTTGGGCAAGACACTTAACCGAACATTGCTCCTGTAGCTGCGACTACAGTGTGTGAATGGTAGTTACTGATGGGCAGGTGTCACTGTGTATGTTCTCCTGTCATCAGTGTATGAATGGGTGTGAATGGGTGAACGATGTCATGTAGTGTTAAAGCGCTTTGAGGGGTCGGAAGACTAGAAAAGCTCTATACAAGTACAGACCATTTACCATTTACGCTACAGAAGCCCTGAGAGGAAAGATGATCTAATCTACAGAGTTTTCTCCAATACATACCTATTACCAGTGCAATACCATTGTGCCTTTTCTTTTGTCTGGGAATGCATTTTAATTATTGCTGCAAATCTCCCATTTGGGGTAAAATTAATGACTTTAGTCTTAATTACAACATTAGGTAGTGCTACACTAATGGCTTTAATGTTCTTGCATGAGTCTGGTGGGGATTTAATAGCAATACAAACCGTTCTAACTGTCTAACATGAACCTAAGTAGACAAAACATTGAATTTGCATAGAACATACAGTACTGACTGACCTCAAACCTTGTGCATACTCCACATGTGTCTCCACTCCATGTTCTTTAAAGCCGAGTTTAGTGAAACGACTGGCACACTCTCGGAGTGTGTCACAGGCGGCCGTCAGCCTCTGGAAAACCTCCTTGCTGAATCTCTTTCCTGGTTCACCCCCACCAAGAGCACGTATACCTTCCACGGCACCCCTGGAACACAACAAAACACATCCGATCAGATCAGGATTTACATTCATTTCTCCCATATCGTGTGCTCAAACTGGACAGAGCAGCTGGAAACTGTCCTGATTGTAATTGAAAAGGACAACACAGAGCTATGATATGACCGCAGAAGGTTGGGACTACCTCATCTCTAACGAGGTGATCAGGAACGTGACTCTTGGGGCTTGGTTAACCTGCCGCTCCCGAACCAGCTCCAGAGCCACGCAGGCTTGTTTTATGATCTGTTCAGCCTGGGAAAGAACAAAAGGCATGATGGGAGAACTAATAAAAGGCAGTTGTTCCGTAGAGAGTTGTGTTTCTATACCTTCAAGCGTGCGTCCTGGTCTCCCTGGCCCACTACAGCTGTGACCTTGGTGAGGGCGAGCTGGTACCAGAACTCCTTATCCCCTCCCAGAGCATGGGCTTTGTCCAGCAGGCTCAACGCCAGAGTAAAGTTCTGCTCCTCACAAGCCAGACTGGCCAGACTGAGCAAACTGCTCGCCGTGGCTTTTGTGTCTCTGAGCTCCTGGACAGAGGGAAATTGATTAAGCGTTAAACACTGATCATGGCTAGTTAAAGAAAAAGTTTGAGGTGGTTCAATTATCCTGGAAAAAGGAGGTTAGTTGGGTGGCGCTAATGGCTATGGATTCATTTAGATTAATAAAGATGAAATGATGATTAACTAAATCTGTTATTTGATAACTGCTAATAGACAAAATAAATGTAGGTGGAAAAAAAAAAAAAACTTTGTCAAGTAGAGTTTAGATGCCCTTGACGTGATAAACACTAAAAACAAAACATTGAATCTCGGGTGTCAAGGTAGTAATGTTGTTTTTGAAAATTCAAGTGTGTACGTCTGCTGTCTCTACTCACCACAGCCACAAAGTGGGCCTCTGCCAGGAGCTGCCTGGCTGCTTGAAGAAGCCCAAAGCTGAGACAAACCTCCGCTTTGTCCAGCCAGACGTCCTGAGCACACACATCGCTCCTCGGGCGCCCAGACACAGCCAATCCCACCACCTCCACTTCCTAAAAAGAACCCCAATTAGACAATTCACTATTTGTATGAATTCAGATTCAAACAGTATGATCAGGTTATACATTTGACCTTGTAAACAGGTTGGATACATGCAGCATAACACACACACACACACACACACACACACACAAACCACCATGGAAAAGAATGGATGCGACAGAGGAAAATGCTAACGCTTACAAATAAACTATCCCGTCGTGCAATTCCTTCTTCAATACAAGTCAAGATACAAGATACAAGTTTGAAGCAGAATTGAAGACAAGCGTATCTACTTTGTGACCAGCAGGCTGACCTGATGTGAAGCGTTGTGAAGGCCCTTTCTCTCCCGTGAAGAAGCAATCACTTCGTGGCACCTGGAATCATGGACATAATATTAAAAGCTCATGAAGGCAACATGTGCAAGCGGTAATTCTTTAAGGCCATTTTACAGAATACCTCATCTGTTCTTGTTCTCGGATTCTACTCAGATCCACAAGCTTCTCCCAGTACGGTGACTGTGTCTCCAATCCCAGCTGACTACAACACCTCACAATTCTAATGGGGGGGACACCAACAGGAGACATATAAAGTCCCATTTCTGAAAGTAAGTAAAGGTACCTCAATCTGCCATTAGTTGATGCGCTTCCGTATGGAGTTTGCACTTAACTGTTAATAAAGCAACCATTTGATTTTAGTTGAATTGTTATCTTACAGTAGCACACAAATCAAATTAAGTAAATTCAAGTGTTAGAATTTACCTGAAATATTAAAAGAAATGTCCAATTTAGCATTGTACTTTGATAACATTTGCAGACGTGCATTGTGAAAGAAAAAGTATTGAAATCAACGCAACATAACAGGAGACACCGTGTTTATAGTTACATCCATTCCTCTTCCCTGATGAGGACATGTGGACAATTTGTAGATGGTTAAGATCCCCCGGTCTTACCTAAGTCGATAAAGGTCGGAGAGGCTCCCTCTGTCCAAAAGATCATGAGCAATGGTCTCAGCAAGATGCATTATGGGTAGGGTCAGGTAGTCGAGTGACAGGGAGTGGAGCTCTTTTCCCAGCAAGTTGAGATAAAACAGGCTCTGAGTCTGCAGCCAGACGAAATAGGAAATAAAGAAATCATATTCCTACACACATAGCTGAAAAAAGCTAAGTATTAATATTATGCTGTTTTATCAGAACAGGAAGTGGCCGGCCGCGCCACCTGTTGCAACTTTCCTGATTGATTAAAACCAATCTGATCACATACTTCTATTCCCTATAAGCGGCACATCCATTACAACGCACACAGTCTGAAGTCTGAAGCCCTTATAATGTTGTTATTTGACCCCACAGATCAATAAATGCACTTCCTCCATACCAACAAAATACACCTTCATAAAGGGAACATTGACACCAAGTGGAGGTTTTTGGAAACAGAAACATTAATTCCTCAAAGCCAGCAGCCACGATCCGTGCTCTGCTGAACACAAGACAACACCATATCCGTATGAACAGTAGTTATGAGACTGGGAGACCTGCCTGCTTCGTGATGCTGTGTTTATTGATACAATGAGGGTTACTGTTGGTTCTGAAGATTTGCCTCGCCAGCTCAGGACATTCGTAGCGGGCCCAGTCCTGCGGCGTGGAAGGAAGTGCGTGATCCAAGACCACGAGTTGAGGTCTCTCTTCTGCAGGAGCGGGCTGGTCAAACACAAATGATATTCATTGCGTTATTGACCAACAAGTAAACCAACCGCTCTGTTGGTCAGAAATAAATAGGTCGTGCTTTACACCAATCCGTGTAAATCAACAACACTCAAAAGGGCTTTTCAGAAATTAGACTTACATCTTTTCCTTTCTTGCCTTTGCCTTTTTTGGACCCGGCCGAGGCCGGAGGCTGAGAGGGCTGGCTCTTTGCCATCTCGTTGGAAATGTCCCGAGCCACTGCCATGGACACCTGGGGTGGCAGACAGTGCACATATGCACAGGCAGTAACAGTCAAAGGTTTGGACACACCTTCACATTCAAAGCTTTTCCTTTATATTTATTTCAGCATCATAGAATAATATTGAAGACATCAAAACTATGAAGAAACCCATGTGGAATTATGTGGTAACCACAAAGAGTGTTAAAACAAAACCTAATACGTTTTATATGATTAGATTCTTCAAAGCAGCTCCCTCTACCTTTGATGACAGCTTTGCACACTCCTGGCATTCTTTCAATCAGCTTCATGATGTAGTCACCTGGAATGGTTTTCCATTGACAGGTTTGCCGGTCAAGAGTTCATGAATGGAATTTCTTGCCTTCTTAATGTGTGTCCATCAGTTGTGTTGTGCAATTCTATACACTGAATACGCCTATTCCACTACAGCTCTAATCCATATTATGGCAAGAAAGAACATTCAAGGCGTACCAGCATGGCTACCACAGCATTCTGTAGCAACATGGCATCCCATCCGGACTGCACTCAGTGGGGGCAGCATTTGTACTTCAACAGGACCGTTATGACGTGTGTCAGGATCTGATTGATGGGCGGGTCAGCCTATATAGGGTAGGAACCTTTGGGGGCTCGGCAGTTGTTTCCAGCCGGGATAGGAAACAGTTTTTGGCCGCACGCTGGGTAGTGTCATGTAACGCTGGGTGGATGTATGTTAGACGCATGACAAGAATGAGTGGAAAATAAATGGACTCGTTTGCAACTTAACAAAAAGGCTACAGGACTCTCATTCATGGTGCAACAGCGGCGCGTCAATTAAGTTTCCGGACAAAATGCCTCAGTGGCTTAAAGCGTTGGCTTAGCCTCTACACCACATAATTCCATAGTTGCTTCATAGTTTTGATGTCTTCAATAGTGATCTACAATGTAGAAAAAAATGAAGAAAGAAAAAACATTGAATGTGAAGGGGTGTCCAAACGCGTGACTGGTACACTCATCTTCTGAGAATGCGTTGGCCCAACGTGCTCATTGTGCCCACGGGTAAAGAGGCAGTACCTGCCATATCCGAAGCACAAAGACGTAGGCTCTGAGCAGGTTAAGCTGGTGCTCGGGTGAAGTCCTGTCTGCCATGGCGGCGAGCAGAGTGTGCGCTCGCACCAAGCCCTCGAGGCGCCGCACGTCTTTCAGCTTGGACACACTTTCTGTCAACAACAAGCCGCGCACTCCAACCAGGGACTCGCCTTCCACTGAGCTCAAATCCCTCTTCATGGACTCGTCCTCTAGAGGAAAACATGAAAGATGAACGGTGACAAAGAGTTTAACAGCGAACAACACACATCGGTCACTTTCCCGACACGCACACAGTAGCATATCAACACTGGTCATTCACACAGTTGTGTCCGGATACAAAGAGAAAGATGTGTGTTTTACCCAATCCTCCTGCCTGTTCACTTTCCAAGTGTAGAAGGATGTCGATGGCCCACTGGACCTGGTTTTGGGCATCGGCCTTTGGGAAGTCGTGACAGTACAACCACTCTCCAAATTCTAGCAGAAGGCCGACCTTCTGCCAACGAGACTCTTCACTCTGTTCACAAACCCAAAAGTCAATAACGTAATTTGGGGTTTTATTTTTACATCGTGTTTAATCGTTGGCAGTGGTCCTTTTTGTAGCTTTGGGCTCAGCTTGGAGAACCACCTTTGCATGGTAAAAGGGATTTATTCCTGCCCTAAACCGAACTCTAGCTTCAACCTTAACGTCTCCCCGGTTGTGAGGACCTCCTCCAGGATTCTAGACCATTGCCAAGGGTCACTTGGAAACACAGTTGCACTGACTCAGTGGCTCCACACGAGGGCACTAGAGACTTACCTTTGCTTGGTATAAAAATAAGTAAATAAAAAATGGGTAAACTTTGAGACTAGAATTTTCTAGTAGCACATTTCCAAGCATGATCAAACTTTATTAATCTGCTGATAAATCATGTGCGGGGAAATATACACAAATGGTGCCAGAACATTACCGAGAGTGAGGTGATGGACTTCTGGTAGCAGGTGAGCTGCTGGGTTATGGTGCCAGCACACAGCGCCATCTGGTGCCACATGAAGGAACTGCACTGCTCTCCTTGGCCTTGTAACATGGGCATGTCCATCAGCACACATTTCCCCAGGCGAGCTTTTACCAGTATTCTCTGCTTCAGAAGAGGTCTATCAAAACACAGAGGACAATACATATATATATATATATATATATATATATATATATATATTTTTGTATATCTCCACCCGCCCAGTTACTCGCATATCTTTTCCATCTCCTTTGAGTTATTTTTTCATTTTGTTGTTATTTTTACTCACAGCTGGTGTCTGGTGCGAGGCGTGTCTGCGACAGCTTGGTCCAGCAGACGCAGCGCACTTCTCCAGTCCGTTTTATCAGTGTGGATGTGGAGCAACAAAATGTAGATTGCCGTTCTCAGGGAGAGCTCGTCTTCATCTACTCACATACATGCACATGAATTACATTTAAGATAGCTCATCTGTGTTATGTGGTTATGGGTTCACAATGCAATTATCAAGGTGAATCCCGGAAAGTCTGCTGTGTCGGGTTCAAATGGAAACGCCCCAGGTGCAGAAAGCCTAATTGTTTATTGGGAAGAGAATAACAATTCCCCGTTGCATCCATTATTTATAGTGTAGAGGTTCGTAGGCGGCCGATCAGATTCATAACAGGAAGCGAGAAAAAACGTGAAGCCAACTAAAAAAGATCAAACAAGAAATGTAATAACTGAACCATCCTAGGGTTCTTTTGCCACCCACCTGAGGCTTCATGTTTAGATCTCCCATGAGGCAGTTCGGTCAAGCTCAACAGGCCTTTCCCTTTGCCCGGTCTCTGAGAAAAGGAAAAGGATTAATACTTCAGTCACTACAAAGGGGATACTGCAGGATAGTGTTGTTGGTAGGGGTGGGTGTTTGATCGTACTCCAAGCTCAGAGAGCATTAACAAACACAATCCCTTCGCCCCCCTCATCTGTAAGCCCCGTCCACACCCAGAGCATGCAGAGCAAATAAAAACAGGCATTCTATGGGTTAGAGTGAAGAAGGGTCCCTACGTCTGTTTGCTTTTTGGTTTTAATCAGAGCCGTCAGTATCTTCTCCAGGGGCTCTTGGAGCTGCCGTCGTTCTTCAGCAGTCTGCGTCAGGGGGAGGCATGCGTTCCAGTAGTGCCTGGCAGCTGCCACACACAGGGCTTGATTCTCTGCCTTCTCTGCGTTGCTGTGGACACAATAAGATAGCAAGGGACACATAAGGTTGGTAAATAAAACATGTGGAGGGACCTGGCTGAGAGAACCTTTTGTAGATTCCCATGGCATCAGTTCTACATATTGTGACTGTAAACAGCACCTGACACTGGACAGAAGCACCTCCAGAGCCTCCCTGTAGGTGTGAAGATCTCCACTGGACTCGTGCACTAAACTCAAACCTCGCAAGCACCCGGCGCTGCTCAGCATCTCGTTCACCGCGGTCAGGCCGTACCTTAGGGATATGGGGAAATAGATTACCTGTCAAAGTCAAATCAATCAACCAAAATAAAAAAAAAACAATATAGAGAAAAAAAACTTTATGCAAGAAAATGGAAAGCAATGGTTGCTGCAATACTCTTGAAAATGCACAAGATGTCACTTGCTGCTCAGTGAGCTTTGGAAGTGAACATCTCACCCACTCGTTACACCCACCTACAGAGATATCCATAACAAAGCACACACATGTTGTGCCCATCTTTCAATGCAAAAAAAGGCCGATCCACTCCGGGCGTTTCTAAAAGGATCTTATTCTTGAAATCACTCATATGATCATAAGGAGCATGCTACACTTACAGCACACAGGGCATGGCGTTAAGCCTTCTTGCTGCGGCTTCCTGCAGCTGCAGGGCGCTCTCGGTGCAGCGCAACACCAAGCTGTGGTCCTTGGCATGGTGGCAGCATGCAGCCAGCTGGCACCACACCTGCAGCTCCACCACGGCGTCAGTCCAGCTGCATCCAGACGCCATGCTCACCAGCTTTCAGGCCAAGGGAGTGAGAGTGGGGAGGGAAATGGGAGGAGGAGAGGGCGGGGGTGTTGGAAACGATTGAGAGAGACAAAAGAAAAGAGGCAATTAACTGAGAGAATTAAAGTAAGAGCGGTAAAAATACGGATGGGTAAAGTAATGCAGGCAGGGGATGGAGAACATTAGGAGTGAGTGGAAGGTGGAAAGGCAACGACTAAAGGAATACAAAAAGCAGAACAAAAAAGAAGAAAAGATCACAGGAGATGAATAGTAAGAGAAAAAAACAACTAGGACGGAGGAGAGATGTGAAGCAAATTTGGGAGGGAATCAGGAAAGGAAGGAATGGAATGATATGAGGGCAGCTACACAGGAGGGCAAAAAAAACAGAAGAGGAGGAAGTGAATGAACACAGTAAGGAAAGGAAGGAGGAGCGCTGAGGAGACATGGACACAGAGAGTGTGGAATAGGTCAGAAAGTCAGAAAGGGACTGAGGAGTGAAGGATTCTCCACAGGGTTGCAAAGCTTTTCTCCAGCCTTATTATCTAGGCAGCGACGGTACATCTTAAAAGATATTGACACATGATGAGAGGCAGACAGGGTCTGTGCGCTGCACGAGCCACCTCGGCATCTGCTGCTCCCATCTGGACGCCGGCGACTGTAGGAGAGGTACGTACTGACGACAGCCCGGGAACCGAGGACGGCAGATGCCTCGGGTTCCTGTTGCACCGGAGCATCTCCACTGCGACCAGCACGCGCGTCATCGATGACACCTCCTCGCTCGCGCACTGCGATACGGGGGAGGAGAACAATGCAGGCTGAGCAATGCGGTCCCCTGCTGAACACAATCCCTTAAGTTTAATTATATTAAGAAAAGGCGTACTCATTGCTTTGTTTTGCTAAGAAAACGTACATAAACCTGCAGTGAGATCATCGCATTGGTCATTGATACATGTTTCCCAAAAACAAAGAGATGACCTTGTTAATAATCAATGACTTTCCGTTGAGTGGACAGTTAGGAGATGAATGATTGAATGAGATACACAATAAAAACAACAAGAAAAAAAAACGTGTTAGCACTGCACTTGTTGATTTGCAATGGAGAAAACAAGCCTTGTGTAGCTGTTACTCAAAGCATCATGCAGAAGCTGAATTATGGTGACTCATTAAAGGACAAAGTGCTTTAAAAAACATTTCTGTTGGCCTGTAAAAAAACACACAAAATATGACAGACGCGTTACCCATTTGTGTTCACTCTTCTCTACAATTTTACAAAAAGGTTTTTTGTTAAATCTCAGACAACTACCATCCCTTCCAAGAAAAAACTGCAGGAGAATACAGAACAGAAAAGTCCTTCTCACAACACAAACGCTGCAGCACGGACAGGTTTCTGTTTCCGGCCACCATCAGCAGCAAAGCTGGGTGGAAGCCTTCCACCACGGCAAAGTGCAGCTGCAGGCCCGGGTAAACTTGTGTCGTAAACATATCCCAGGACTCCTGTGTTCCCCCTTATTGTCCATGTTTTTCCCCCTTAATATAAATCTGTTGATTTTCAACTAGTTTGAACTTATTCCATTCCTTTCAAATTATGTGTATAGGTGGCCAGTTCTGGTTTAAATTGACATGAATAGAGTCAGCATCCAGAATGAGCCAAAAAAGGAACTCAAATATTGTGCAAAACAGATAACCATCTGAATTCCAGTCCTTGGTTATGCTGATTAATGTGAATAATGTTAATCATTCACGTGTTCCAACACATGCAAACTAGCACCTGGCGGTTTGACACATACTGCACATTTCTAAAGAAGAACTTTGGGGCTCTAAAGACAGACTCATTTTAGCAAGAATAAGTATGTATAATAAGTATTTATGAAAACTGTAACTAGTGCAACAAAAACCTCATTATCTAGGACTTTTTGGGGGATTATCTACAGAGGCGGTTAAAACAGACATTTATTGACCCATTCACTAATATACTTCTCCAGGTGTAAGGCAGATAAAACAGATGTGCAGTCTATGGCTATAACTCTGCCATCCATTCAAATGATCTCGTAGAGTTACAAATCACGACGAATCGTCATGTAACAATGGAACAAAAATAGCAATACCACTGCTAGCAGCCAGAACAGAGGGGTACCTCATCTTTGGTGTCCATCTTTGACCCAGTCTCCTGCTGCAGGAGCCTCTTGACCTGCACCCAGGTGGCCACCACCTGTTTCCTGGCTGCGATGGGGACGCTTCCCTCCGGGGTGTTACCGGCGGACAGGCGAAGGCCGTAGTCACACAGCTAGGAGGAAGTGGAGAAACCACAAAAATGAGCTTGCGCTCCGTCGGCTTGAAGGGCTCTGAAGGGTATTAGCGGTCTGAGAAGATCAACAGGTGGAGCGCGGCGTTAAAAATGAGGATCGCAGATAATCCTAAATGACATTTGAAATGTAAATGTGGATAAACTATTCTATCTATCTAGACTCTGCCGGCTGCCCCGCCCCTCTCGAGCTGGAGGCCTTCTGCCAGCGGCAGACACATACACAAAAGGTTCCAGGAAGACTGTCAGTTATTTATCAGAAATGCATTGCAAAGGATCCCTTTTATCTTTCCTCCAAAGAGGAAACAGACACGATGGAATTATTCACTGATAAAGTGCCTTTCATCCGGAGTGAGGGCTGACATTCATGCTGGATCATTTGAAGAGAAAAGGAGAAACAGAAATGGCGCTCAACACTGCAGCACAGCCTAAGAACAAAGACATCAGACAGCACAGACGCAGTCGTGGGAGCTACATGCGAGTGGTGCACGGCTGGGTAAGTACTGCCGTGCCATGGAGGGGTTCACAAATGGTACTTCCTCTTGATGCTGTGTTCCCCGCTACGAGCGGCGACGCTAAAACAGCAGCAACATTGTCACAGAGTGGAAGTGTCTCTCGGTTGCTCGTTGGCGTAGGTTTGGTGTTAAATAGCTCCTGGGAACTAACGGACGACATGTTTGTTTTTCTTTTAGGAATTGTAGGTGGATAAAAGCGGAAAGCAAAAGATTTGAGAAGTCAAGGTCAGCTAACCGAGTGCATCGGTTTGTAGCTGCACGGCGCCACTCTCTGGTGAAACTGTTGCTTTGTTGCTCATAGTGTGAACATCGCACGGGTGCGCCTCCGCTTTACCCCTGTGATGCTGCTGAGCTGTGATGTCATATCGTATGGAGGAGGAATCAACTGGGAGGACTCGTAGTTCTTGCTTTCACGCTCAAATCAACAACTTCTGCCTTGAATGTTGTTTTTGTTTGCCAGGTAAGGTCTACCATCTGTTCTGCAACCATCCATAAAAGTATTTTATTTGTCATCCCTGTTCAGTTTTTCAAGGACACAATGGAATTACAGCCCCAAAGGTTCTTAGTTTTGTTCAACCCTATTATTTAAAGAACATTCTAGGTGTTATGGAGGATGTCATGTGTGATAGCTCCAAAATGACTTCACATTTTTCTATAAAACCCTTTAAGCAACTATTGTTTCATAATTAATAAAATTTGAAAGTAGCGTAGGGGACTGCGCCGTTTCCTCCTCCGTAGCCTTTGGGGAGCTTATTGAGTAGAACTGTACACGAGGACGTACATCACCGTCGGCCTCCGAAGAGTTGCCGGGGGGAAAATCACACTTGCCGTGAAGATTCGACAAATTCCATTGAAATACTACACACACTACCGCCTGCTATTTTGTGAGATGCTGATATGTTCTTAACTTTTCATATTGGGAAAAAAAAAATTCAACTTCAAACCAAAAATGTTTTGTTCTATTTTACTTTGTGATTAACAATAGAACCCACAAAGACCCCCCCCCCCCCCCCCAGGTTGTCATGATACACAATACCAGGAGATTTCTAAACCGCCTGGAACTCATTAATTGTTCTTTAGGATTTGATCAATAATGTATTCACCACAGATACTTTGGATAGAATTAGTGACTGAGCAACAGCCACCAAAGTCCCAGCAGATAATTGCCCTTTAAGTAGTTCTTGGCTTGTAGGCTTTTTAATCTATATGCAAATATGCTGATATAATTAATTGTTTTGCAAATTAATGCAGATTTAAAGACTGGACTTGTTTGCACATGTTGGCAAAAAAGCGTGTTTAGTGGTTAGTTTAAAAAGGAGGTTTACTCAGATCAAAGAGTAATGCTTTGATAACTGAACTGAAAATGAACAATAGCCAAAAATCCGTGGTGCGGACTATTGCATTCATTTATAAAATCATTTTGTTTTGTCATGCACCGCCACGCGCAGGAGCCCATTAGCTGCCCCCCACACCGAACATACCTCCGATGCCTTGCGGACATCCTGAAGGGCAGCGGGGTCCAAGAAACCCCCGTGGACGCCGGCAGCCTTCTCCCCGCCCCTCCCCTGTCTGCTCCTGGCCTTCTCTGCTGGGGGGGCTCGCTCGATGCCGTCTGGTCCGCACTGAGGCTGAATCAACCCGCGGGCCACGGCGTCGCAGAGCAGCACGAGCAGAGTGCGGTTCCTGAGCCACACAAAGAATGCTCCAAAGTGACGTCACCGAAAGAAACAGGACCGCAATTTGGGCTTGAAGGCCAAACGCGTACGCATTAGTTATCAGTTCAAATGATACTTTGAGTTTAAACTGAAAACTGACTGTTTTGCACAGCATTCAACTGAATGGTTGAGTTAATCTGTGGTTCACAACTTCTACCTCTTTTCTATTATTGAGTAACATTGACGCCCACTGACTGACGTTAGAACAACGTGTGAAACAAGAGATTTGGATGAATTTCAGGATATTCTTCTTTTTTTTTCTCTCCCTGACTCGTTGCCATCGTTCGATTACCTCTTTGGTTCTTTAATCGATGTACTTTTTCTAATGCGACAGCGTGTGTTTAGGTTTTCATGACACGGTATTCAGGGTAGTAAACCATGCAAGAAATAATTCTGTTTTAAAGACCTCTTCACACTGGGGGAAAACATAAAAACGGCACAAAAATGCATAATACTCCTCCTTTTAGTTTGCAGTAAAGCTATTCATACAGTCAATACCATCATTAATACCATCAATGCCTTCATTTATGCATGTATGAAGGCTCAGACAAAATCACCTCAGTCTGATAAGTAATATATATTGGCGTGCAAATTAAATCACACAAAAACAAACAATGTGTAAAAGCTTTGACAGCCCTATAACCTGTAAATAAAACCCAGCCTACCCGGTGAACTTGGATTTTTGGAGCATCGCCACAAGACTCTGGAAGGTGGGAAGCAGGCGTCGGTACTCGCCGGCTGCTAACAAGTGGCTGCTGTAGTTCCACAAGTAAATGGCGGCGTTTGCGACCAACCACGACTCGTCCATCTCGGCCCCGAGCTCCGCCGCCCGCAAGAAGTTAGAGGTGGCGAAAGCAGACAGAGCGTGGATCCAGTCTCTGGGAGAGAGACAGGTAGAGAGAGTGGGAAACACAGACACACACACACACACACACACACAGGTCAGTTACATTTGCTGACCGGTTGCAGGGGAAAGAGGAACGTAAAAAACGTTATAATGAAGCTTTCAGCACCGATTTGTTTGAGTACCTGGTTAAAGCTCTCAGCCCACTTTATGCTACAATGCGCTGAAGTGCAGCGGAGCAGGTCTGCTGAATGCAATGAGTCACAAGCTTTGTGGTGGTTTTGCACAACATCTGTGCTGTACTAAACCTAATCACGTCATAAATAACGTTTGCAGCCCCGCGTAATTGAAGTGGGAATGCTTTCACCACTAGCGGTGATCATCTCCAATGAATTATGAAAGGTGTTTACTCTAAAAGACTAAAGCACAGCACTTCTATTTTCAAACCAGACTACAGTTGACGATTCATTAAAGGGGTATTTGTTGTAATTATTTAAATAACATGTTCAACGCAACAATTGTATCAGCTTCAAACTTATTTCTGGAACCTGATAATTGAATATTTTAATGAGACAACATAATATTTTAATTGCTTTACACTTAAATAATAATTCAATGAAATAATTCAAGTCAAAACATACCGAATCCATAGACAAAAGACATACAGTACAAAATACTAGTTCTATGATTGCAGCGTGTGTGTTTTCACCTGTAAACAACCCAGTGTGGATCCTCCTCAGAGACACGCAGCTCCCTCTGCACCGCGGGGACGACAGGGCCGTTAAGCTGGACTCCCTCTGTGAGCAGCTTTTGGACGGTGGCCTTGACAAGACGGAATACTTTCATTTCTCAACCACAGGAGATAATATTAAAGATGACTTCCTGTTTTGATTAATTCATCATGAAATGAGCAGAGAAAACCTCCCGCTGTGGGAATGACAGCTTCTCCAGAGACGGCTCAGCCGCTGCAGATCAAAGACAGATGAAACCACTGGTCTGCTTTTTACTCCAGCGGCAGAAAAACTCAGGTAAAACAAAAGGAACCCGCCTTCATTATCATCATCATCATCACACTGATGTAGACGTATCTATTCATTTAATGAATTATGACCCCAATTCTAAAAAATGAAATAAATAAAAAAGCGTACCATGAAACACAGAGAGCTACATGAAAGGAGCAAGAACAGACGGCACAGCGCGACTCGGCTTATGACAAGGTCATGCAGTTGCTGTGGATAGTTTCCATTTTCTTCAAAGTGCTGTCAAGTTAACATCTCTATGGACTTAATACAGACTTGGAGCTGCAGGCTTGATGGGAAGCAGGATTACACAATGAGACAAGCTCATGAGACAAGCAGAACAATCTCTGACTCAAACAAATCAACAGCTACCTCGCGGGCGTGTTATAAATCCCATAATGCATGTTTACTAGTGCGAGCAGCCTCGTTTTACAAAAGGAGCTTAAAAAAAAGACACATCTGTTTTGTGACCTCGATAGAAAAAAAAGGTTTGAATTAAAAAGCTGGTAAGGACAAGGAAGTGCGAGCGCAGTCTTACCACTGCACATGGTATTAATGTGCATTCATTCTAATAACTGAAAAGAGACAAGAAGTTATGTGGTTGATCCAAAATAAAGAAGGTGTTTGTGTCCCTGGAAGATCCTCCGGGTGGTCTTTATTTCAAGACCATCTCCTGCTATTCATGGGCGGCATACTTTTCAGCAATGGCCATTCAGTGTATATAATTCCTCCTCTCTGCAAAGTCCATTTTAATTAGCAGGGGAAAGGTCCGCCACTCTGAAGCTTGTTTGAAATTGCCTTCACAGGAAACAATACAGTGCCCAAAAACCCAAAATAAAGGCTTGAGTCTTGTAGTGTGAGTTAGCCACAATGCAGATGGGAACATGTGGGAGCTTTTCATCAGCTCTCTGCGTACGCGCAAGTGATGCAACCAGTTTATACCCAACATGAAAGGTGTGTTTCTGTTTGTCAGCACACACCTCAGCACTGATGAAGCGGACTTCGGCTAAAAGGCGCAGCAAGTCCCTCACGCAGGTTTGACTTCGATTGGCGCCGCTTCCTCCCTCAGAGGACCCGCCTCCTGAATCATACGGACAAAGCCGGTCACGGTAAGTCTCTCGAGGAAACCACTCCTCTCCCTCTTGTGTATACAACTATCTACCATGACTCTGACACTAGAGGAATATTTGTCATTTGGCCGGGAGTCTGACGACCGCTCATCGTCTTACCGTCAGTCTCGGACATTTTCCATCTCCCATCGTCATAAAGCAGACAGAAGCGACAGGCAGCTCGGCACACATCCCAAACCTCCTGTTTCCTGGCTGTCTTCACCAGAGTTGCCCACAGCTTCACTCTAAAGTAAAAAAAGAGTAAAAAAAAAAAAAAAAAAGAACACTTGAGAGATGATACCTCTTTAAACATGTGGAAGTGCAAAGCAGCACACTGGAAAATATTTAAGGTCAGGCTATGGGAAACTTTTCCTTTGGCGAATCCTCAATTCAAGCCTTGCCTTCTGCCGCCCATCAAGCTTCTACGGGCTTATGTGGACACTTTTTCACTGTAATGATATGGAAAGACAGGCAGCCTCGACTACGCTCTATGAATGTAATAGAAGGCTGTAGACTCCTACAGTCACTCAACGAGCTTAACGGTGGAGAGGATCGAAAGATCAAACATCCCTTAGTATGTAGTGTTCAGGGACAGCAGCGAGTAAGAAATCCAACCAGGCATAAAAAACCTACTAGAGCAGGCAATGCCCCAGCATGGTTCGTTCCTGAGAAGCCTGAGAGCTAAAATGAATTCCTCATACAACTTTTATGTGGCTTTCACTTGTTTAGGAAAAACATACACGTGGAATCACAATTAATACATGTGGACTTAATACAAACGTGCACACATACACACACACCTCTCCGTGTCATTTGTGTCATCTCCTTGTCTGGCAAGGTGTCCATCCAGCTTCTGCATGGCTGCAGAGTGATGCCGCGCCTTAGCAGAGAGCCGAGCCGCTGGTCCAGATCCAAGACTGCCTACGGGAACTGGACATTTGTTGGAAGACCAAATACATACGTCGATCTTTATTGCTGCAACTGGCTCTGGCATTTCCTGTAAGTAATTATTCAGTACACTGGCGAGTGTGCATAAAAACAGGGACCAAAGGATTCTTGAAACATTGAATAAATGTGCACTGATGTACGTCAGGACAATGTAATCCTTTCGAGGAAGTTACAAAATGTGCCTTATTATGACACTTCCTCACAGGAAAGCAACGACAACCAAGGAGCCACACAATTAAATGGCCCATTCCCAACACCCCCAACCCTTAAAAACAGCAACGTCAACGATTGCGAGGTAATCATGTAGACGAGTAAGAAAATGAAAAAAGAAAAACTACACAGTGTTCTAGAGTTTGAGCCACAAATGCCTGCAGCAATATATACTACCCGACTAGAGGGTTTCAAAGAAGCTGGACGTCACCGTTGCTGCACGAGTCTCTGAGGTTCAACACACAACACTGTGCAGCAAAACAAACCACAATTAATTAAGACCCCTCGTTTAAAACGCGGCGGTTACATGTGGTCGTCGAGTGGATGCTGCAGGTTCATAGACAAAGCCATAGAGATGCCTCTACGGACCAAAGAGGGCCTTTGACTAAAGCCATCAGAAGGCTGGGGGGACGTCTTTGCTGGGTCACGAGAAGACTGGATGTTCATTTGATGCTGTGCGCCAGGAATAAGTGAGAGATTAAAGGAGCTCCCCGAGTTAAGGCGCCTGTGCTGTGCGATGCAGCGCACACCGCCAAGTCTCCGCAGTAAGAGACGTGGGAACACAAGCAGATTCTCTGGGAAGATTTTGCAAAACCAAAAGTCAATGCTGCTACTGAACTACTTGCCGGTCCAGACTTAAAGTCTAAAGACGGTGCACATTCATTTTGTTTTACGTGACGTTCGCTCAATTCTCCTTCATAATCAGGGCCTACTTCACCAAGATAGCAGCTCATCTCGCAATCAGTGCAAAAAAATGCTACATTCTCATTAAATGACTGAATCAAAGTTTCAAAAACATTTGCTAATGCCACATTACAATACCGAATTTGAATGTTTTATTATTCAATAGATTACAATGTGCCCTGATTTGTATGCTTAGCATTCCATTAATGCAAGAGGGATTTCCTCAGAGAAAAGGAAAAGAAAGACACAGAGAGAACAGAACAGCGAGTGCAGAGATAGCCGAGCGAGAGGCAGACTGAGAGGTCATCGGACTGAGCGGCTGCTTCAGCAGAGATCTCAGAAGAGCCGGTGGAGAAAATGTTCCCCATGAATATCGTATCAAAACAGGCTCAAAGCATAAAATCAATCTACAGTCGATCAAATGTCGATGTCAAGTACGTTAAGTACGAAACTACCGGTGCCAACCTCTCAAAAAACAGTCTAGTAGTAAATGCGTGAGGGGGAAACGTCCCCTCACCCCAGAGAAGCGGTTCCTGGGGTACGTCTCATGACATTAGTGTGTTTCCTTGTACAGAAGGGGCACAAAGATTAGGAATTTTGTGTGTTTTAAGATTATATATTGTGCAGTGTTCATATCTTCGATTTTTAAACAATGTCTTATACCATTGCACTGCGTTTACTGTTACACCCCCATCAGCTCCCCACATTCCTTCTACGTGTAACGTAAGGGCAATAAACAGGGTTTTTTGGGGTGTGATGTGTTATGTGTTAAGAAAGGACGGAAAAGGAGAAATGTGTACTTTTGTCTGTGTTGTCAGCATCCAGGACCATCTGGAAATGGTCAGGGGCCAAAAGCTGACCCACAGCGACCAGGATGGGGCGGCTGTCGGTTCCGTCTTGGGGCTTCATGTCTCTGGCCTGAAAAATATTAACGGATGAGTTGAAAGTCAGACTTATCCTGCAGCCATTACTCACAGTCACTTTGACTTTAAAAACCCTAAACCGTGCTACAGCTAAGTTCTCCTGCACAGCTGCAATGTAGGATTTCTGTTTATAACCCTAGAAAGTTGTCTCACGACTTGCTTTTACGGAACTAGTTGACTTTGCCGTGTTAAGGCCGTCTGAGGCTGATGGGCTGCAAACCTGCTGCATAAGCATATCGGCTCTATCCTCGGCCCGGGGAGGCGTGTGGTAGAGGGTGTCTCTGAGCTTCAGGAGGCGGACAGCTGACGACAGGCGCTCTCGTCGCGTCCCGTTATCCAGCAGCATGGCTTTCTGGAGGTGAGTCAGAGAAGCCTCGAGGCGCCCGTCCTCCTCTTCGATCAACGCCAGCTCCGAGTGGACTTGACAGCGCGTCTCCAGCAACGTGCTGGGAAAATAGTGTAAAAGAAAAAAAGACACTTCCTAAATAAAGTAGAATATTAAAGATGACTACAAATGTAATCTAATACCACAATTTGAAATCAGGAGACATGCTGCTAATGACTTCTACAGTAATTGAGATGCCCCTGGATAAATACCTGTGGCTCTCTGTCAATGTAAAATACTACAGGGAAAAAAAATAGTCCTGACCATAAATCATCATAATAGCATTTTCCACTGAAACAACAGTAAGAATATCACACGTTAAAATAACCGAGCCTCCATAACATGCAGCATACTGTGTGCAAAGTGGTGCTCCCTCTGAACCGCTGTCATTTATCTTTGATGAAGCTACTGGAAACACCCAAACGCGTGTAAGAACACACACGTGTTAGGATGAATATGAGGAAACTGGAGACCTTCTAATGTCTTCCAGCACTTGGGCCACCCTGAGCAGAGGTGTCCTGACACGTTTCCTGAGGTTGTGCTGCAAGAGCGGCAGACAGAAGCTCCACTGCGCAGCGCACACCGCCTGCGTGGCCCGAGGGTCCCCCTCCCCCGCCGCCGTCTGCAGCCACCGATCCAGCTTGCCGATCTCCTTCAGCCGGGCCTGTGGGAGGAAAAGGACGGATTGGGAGCAACGAGAGCGCAACACTTCAATCATTTGGCAAGTGAACTTGGCCTGAGTTAGATATCAATGGGTGCCAATTCTTAAATGTGAGAGTTTTCATGCCAAAATATGATATGGTACAAAATGAGATTACAAAGTCCTTCTTCCCTTAAGATCTTTTTTTTTTTCAGGAGAAGAAAAAGTGATCATTAAAACTTTCCGGCTTAAACTCTAAGCGCTGCTTGATGGGTTAGCAGGCAGAGATATGCAAATCAAGGGGAAGAGAGTTTATGGATGTTGCTCCTTTAGACCAAGAATAAGTAATAATAAATATCACTGAAGAGTTTATCAAGACGCCGCCATTGGGTGCACAGCCTGCATCATAGGAACGTATGATGGAGCACCTCCACGCTGGCTTTGGAGTAGTCGTCAGTCTTCCCCTCTCTCTTCTGGAGGTTGATTTCACAGTTGACACATTCCATTAATACGTGCTGGCCGAAACTCTGAGAAGACAAAGGTACGCTCATATACATGTGATATTAAGAGTCGCCATTCAACAGCGCATGGAAGAAGGGGCCACACATCTACGCCCGAGTCCTATTTATTGCCATGCGTTCTTGCACACTTCATTCTCAGTGGGAGCAAAACGTCTAATGTGGTGCACACGTTTGCATGTGTCCACAGCTGCTTTCAGGAAAACACTCACAGCCTCCCCCTCCGACTCCAGCTCTTTCAAACAGTCCACAGCTACTTCATGACACTTCACTCTCGAGGCCAGCAGAGCCAACTCCACGAGGAAGGCAGCTCTGCAAAGCACCAGATAAAACAGAATTCATGCAATTCCCAGCTCTTCAGCGCTGTTATCCAGATGTGGTTGCATGGTAGTGAGAAGTTGAGTAGGAGGACAGCAGGCAACAATGGTAAAGTTGTAGAGGTAACAGACCGGTCAGCTTGCTGGATGGGTGTCGGGCTCTGAAGAGGACTGGACTTCACAGGCGTAGCAGAGGCTTTGGCGTCCATCAGCAGATGAAAAATCTGCTCAAGCTCCCTTTTTGTTGGTTCGCCGTCCTTCACTTCTTCCAACTTGCTGTTTCACAGCATGAAGAAAAGACCCCACAATTTTTGAATTAATAATGCATACACTACGCACTGTACTTTGTAGACTACATACAGGCATCTGTAATCCCCCCCCCCCTCCCTAAAGTACTTGCACTATACAGTGCATAAACCTCAAGCAAAAAATCCTATAGGACGCTGACGACGGCCGGGTCAGACTGACTCATGCTGCCATCGCTGATAGCGGAGCTGAGGAGCCATAAGGAGCTCTGACATGTCGAGTACATGCCTGCAGAAATGGGAGGGGGCGGGTCTATGACTGGGCTTGTATGATGTCACAGCAGAAGCCATGGTGCTATACCATTACTGTGCGCAGGCAGCCAGATGAAACCTGCCCACCATGGGACTCCAATGGCTTAACGGAGGGCCTGTGAGTTATGGGGTTTAATATTTGAGTAGATTGGATAAAAGCATCCGAATGTCAGAATCCAAAATGAAGCGATATCCCTGTGAATCCCACCAGCTTAGGAAAACAAGGCAAATAGTTACTGCATTCTAGTAGTACGCCACTGCCAACTAGCCATGTTTTAGTGTACAAGCACGTCTGTCCAACATGTCATCGCCTTTACGTTTTAGCCGCAGCAACATTAATGTGAAATTGCCATCTTGAGCACGGGTTGAATCATATTTTGTGTGCCAAATTCCAAAAATAAAAAAAGAACAGCTCGAGGCGTTCCAGAAATGTCACACGCATGTGAGATGAACGCAAACAAAAAAACTCAACTTAAAACACTTTGTAGGTTGATGAAACTGAAGGAGATGCTGCGTCCAAAAAACACAAACATCCAATCAATGAAGCATATTCTTCCAAACCCAGTTTTGCCCTCAAATGAAGCAGATCTCAAATAGTTTCCTCTTACAGTGCAACGTCTTCTTCCCTTACTTTGTGAATTCCTGTAATCTGTAAATTACTGCCAAGGTAGGACACTGCCTGCTCGTTTCCATGACGACATCGTCCTCCGTCAGCTTGTGTTGGACCTGAACAAAGAGAGTAAAGAGTAAAGGGAGAAGTTCATTGTTATTCATCATCCCCAAATGCATCACTAAAAAGGTCTGCAGATTAAAAACAGTTAACCGCACCAACAAGTAGTGATGTTTTATATTGTGTAATTCAAAGACTGTACAGTCCACAATGTATTAAAAGAAAAAAAATCCCCAAATAAACGTCTCTACAAAATAAATATAATGCCGTTTACCAGTAACGTAAAGAGTCTTGGATAAAGATGCGGGATATGCGACTTCATGAACTCTTCTGCGTGTTTGGCAAAACTTGCTGCTTCTTCCATTTCACCGGAGTCCACGAGACACTTAATAAGAAGCCTGAATAGGAGCAGAGGGAAAGAGACTGATAGTGTCAGTGTGAAAGAGCAGTTTCTAACAATAGTTACTGGGATGTTACCACAACACATGGACATTTTCTCCACAGCACCAAATCAGTTTCCAGTATATGATTTTACCTTCACCTAGCTACCGTTCATCCAATGCAATCCAGTAAAATAGCCCTTCAATGTCCACATGTCGACACGGGGCTGTTGTATAATTGCGTGGCATTCTACCAATTACTCACTTATGAAACTACGGCAAAATAAATAAAACGAGCATGGAAGCCAGAGCGCTACGGTCACAGATGAATCCAGCATCAGACCCAATCAGACCGACAGAAACACGACCGCACGCGTTCATGAGGGAGACCTGACAGGAGCATCGAGGGGCTACTTGCATCATGAGCTCAGCCCTCCAGCTGTGGTCCCCGTCTGCCACCTCGTCCAGACTTTGGACCACCTGCCTGAGGGAGGGGACGAGGTGGCGGCTCCGCCCCGGCTGCAGGAGAGGACGCGCCGTCTGGAGGTACAGCACCGACGCATTGAACGCTAGGAAGTAGCATCTGGGAGTAACAAACCAAAGGCAAAATGATTGAACAGAGAAAGCGGGATTATTAAGAACAGGTCTGTGAATTAACAATGTGTGTGTACAAACGTCTAATGGGCTTCAGGAGGGCATCCTCTATGAGCCTATGTAAAATGAGGGAAATTTTACGAATCCAAGGCGCTGTTTTACGGAGAATCGAGAGAAAGGACCGTTTGAGCGCTGCTAATTTATACACCAGAGAGGGTTGTGTGATGGTGTGGGCCGGTCTGTATTAGCGATGCATTCCCTTTGGTGTTAATTGGGATTGCTCATTCAGCCCTTTTATTGACAGGTTACGACTTCATTAGCAGTGAGATTTAGTGGTGCTTGCTCGCGGAGCCGAGCCAGTGTCTCCCCATGCATCTCCCTCATGTCACAATTTCTACCATCACAACTATATTCATCTTCTTTTTTGCCCTGCTGACAGATTAAGAAGAAAAACAGTTTAACATCATCCACAAGTGGGATGAAGCGTGAAGAATCAACTGTGTTTTTGGCAGAAGAATCAACTGTGTGCTTGGAAAATCAAACCCTGTTTTTTTCTTTGTGCACCTTGGAATTATGACGGCGACCACCCGGGATTAAGAGAGATGATCAACTCTGTGTGGCATAAACTGGTCAACTTTCACGACGCTGTTAGAACAAACACACTTCTAAAGAAGTCACGTACCTCGGATCACGCTTTGCAATGTCAATTGCTTTAATAAACCAAAGCAGAGCCTTTTCAAAGTCGCCCTAAAATAGAGAACAACGCAGAGGACTGTCAGATAGAACAAACACACAGCAAAGTATTCAACAGAGGCCAGTTTGGTAAAAACACCCAGAAAACATGAAAGTGCACTTGACTGTGTGAAGACAAAAGCCAATGAGCCTTGAAGAATAACATTGAGAAGAAGAAAATGTTTACGAAACGGGGACATCTGCTCCCCCTTTTGTGCATAGAGTACATAATATCTCTATACTGTGTGCGTGTGTGTGTTTGTGTGTGTAAGTGCATCCCATTGGCACTGAAATACGCATTCACACAATCCCCCCCCCCTCCTCCTCGAGGAGCTGTGTCCAATTCGCTGTCCTCACCACAGTCCCAGCGGCCGGCGGAGACTCCAGCCGGCCCCGGCAGAGGTAGGCTCGACACGAAAATTGATTCGCCGGCGGGTTCCCTTCAAAGTACATCTTTAGACACGCTGTGCCCATCTCCAAACGACCCAGCTGGAAACACAACACAAAGGCCAAACTAAATGAATATTTAATTCCGCTGTTGCATTGAACCACCAGCAATTTACTCAATTTGATGCTGTATCAAAACTGAATGTCAGAAATGACTTCACGCTGATTTTACGGCTCCTGCTCGTCGTCAGATTAATTATCACAGGGTAGCTTTCATTAAAAGGAGCTGAATAGTCATTTGTTGATTATATTATCATCAAGTATTCCATTTTTCCTCAGGCTGGAAGACGATTAATCCAGTTCAAATTAACAGTGCATCAGTTTATTAGAACAAGCTGGCGACATTTCTTAAAGCAACAGGAATATTCATAGTTCTCTAATGTTGCTAACTGGAGTAATATACAAAATCACTGACATAATATGACTAACAGCCGAGTTGGGTACCTTTACATGCTGCAAGAAGAAATGAATCCCCTCCACATGCCGATAAGGTCAGTACTTGCCCGGATGATGACACTTGCATGTCATCACAGTACCGTGCATTTACTGATAGAAATGAGCTCCACATTGTTCACGTTCAAATGGAAATCTTTCCTTCTCTGAGGCTGCCTGAGGGATGAAAGAGCCCCTGTTCTCTCATATGAATCCGTCTAACACAAGGATGTTCAGCAGGATGCGGCTTGGCAGCATCCGGACAATGCGAACAGCTCTATTGACTGACTTAAATGTAAGACTACATGTGACTCCATACGGTCCTAGTAGTCCATTTTGACTAAATTCAATTTCTGCACCTCAAAATGCTTCTCAATACCTTGTGTGGCCCCCACGTGCTTGTATGCACGACGGATAAAGACAGATGGCGTCTTGTGGAATGTCCTCCCAGATCTGTCAAAGGGCATCAGTGAGATCATGTGAAGTCTGAGGAACAACCTCAGAGGTGTTCTATCAGGGTTAGGGCAGGTGATCGCAAGGGCCATTCAATTGTATGCAATTCCTTCATCCTCCTGCATGCATACTCTCGCCACATGACGCCGGACACTGTCGTCTGCATCTAACAGAACCCTGCACAAGGTCTGACCATGGGATTTCATCCCGATACCTAATGGCAGTCAGACTGCTGTTCTCTAACCTGTAGAGGTCTGTGCCTCTCTCCGTGGATACTCCTCCCCCAGACCATCACGGACCCACCACCCGAACCGCTCATGCTACCATGCATAGCGTTCTCCGTGGCTTCTCCAGACTCTTTATCGTCTATCAGGTGCTCAGAACCTGCTCTCATCTGTGACAAGCACAGGGCGCCAGTGGCGGTCATGCCAATTCACGCCCTGAGGCCACCCTCAGGAAGTCTGTTTCTGATTGTTTGGGCAGAGACATTCACATCCGTGGCCTGCTGGAGGTCACCCGTTCCACCCCTGCACAAAGAACACTACTTATCTGTATATATCATTACCAGAAATGTGCAATTGAATTGATGATAAAATTGAGTTCCTTTCATTTTTCAGACACATTGAAATGCAACCTAATTCCCTCAGGATAATTTGTGTAAATATCAGGTGTCGATGGCATTGATCAAATGTGATTTAAATAAATATTTACGGTTTTATTTACTTTGGTAACAGTGCAGACAGGAAAATGACCCCACCCCCCCTCGTCTCACCTGCAGAGCTGCTTCGGCACAAGCGACGTACAACTCTGGGGGAACACGTGGAGTTCTCCCGCTGGTTCCCGCCGTGTCCTCCATCAGGCGGTAGGCGGACTGCAGCGCTGCGCAGTCTGCGTAAAGTAACGTCAGATGACGTGAAACACGGCGAAGGCTCACCCTGTGAACTCGCTACAGAAACAACACAAACCTTGCTGCTCCTTTGCCTTGGTGAGATACTGACGGATATCCAGCTCCATGTTTCGCACAGCCTAACTGCCGTTTGTTAGTTTGTACTGACACAACGCGGCGTTTCCTGCGCTTCTTCGTTAACTGGCGTAAAATCAATTACGTCATCCAGTTACGAGAGTTTTCGCGCACAATTAGCCAACGTTACCCCATTTAAAGTTGCAACGTTACAGGTGGGAGGTTGGTTACAAATAATTTTAAAACGGTTTGAATATTAGGTAACGATTATGTCCACACGTTACATTTACTATCTATATAAATATACCCCTTCATAGTGTCTTTAAAGACCAACTGACCCGGTGTTGATGGAAATGCTGGATGGCGCGTGCCACCGTCAGTGTTTGTGGTGAAGGAGCGTTACTAAGCAACCCAAGACCGGGCGGAACTACGGTAAGCGAAAGAGACCAAAAAGGTGTACACATTGAGTGATGATTGGCTCCTGACTTAGATTCGGTTAATCGACTGTAGTTTCAAATGAAATCCACTTTTTACAGTCTCTCTCTCACACACTCACACTCACATACACAAAGAACCTCTTTATGCTCCTGGTCCAAACGATTTTTAACATCAAAGTGCATCATTAGAAATCCGTCCAGTCTGTGTGCAAATATAATCTACTTGGTCCAACCAAATACTGTTACCGATGTGACAGGGGAGAAAGTAGCGAGGCAAGGCAAAGTACAGAGGCAATCCCTGTAATGGACTTGCCGCTGCTAGATTGAGGTTTAACTGACAGAAACATGTATTACCTGCCAGAATTTCAAAGCAGCATAGATAGCTCTTCAGTGGCCCTCAAGCAAAGTAGTTCAGCAATTCATCGGGGGACCTGTCTAAATACAGACAGAGAGAATATTCATCCTTTGGGATTTCTTTAAATCATGTGAAATATATGAGTTACTGGAAGACAACTTTCTTCTGTAACTTGACCTAGTTAGTGGTTTGAGTTGGTGGCTTTTATTTGTTTTCATAATGTAACAACTGCCAAAGCAGCGTGTTTGTTGACGAAACAGAGTTTCACTGTCTTATGGCTGTTTTAAGCAGTTTGACAGATAAATCCTGCCTTAGCAGATGGTGCTAGATGAATAGGCTCTTAAAATGCTAAATATGTTAGATTGGGCATCCAGTGTTACAACAATACAGCTATACAGCTTATGAAGTATTTACTGCTCTATAATCCAATGAAATGGGATTTATCCAATGCAAGAATATCTGTAATCTCACGTTCTTTCAATATTTGTCATTAGGAGAGGAAAATGTAGACTTGAGAGGAATGCCTTCAACGTGTATTGTCATGGAAAACCCCCACCTTTTTTCAAATGTCATGCTTAGGATAAAAAAATGATTATGTCCCGTGAAAAACAACTAGATAATTTTCACTTTGTTCAACATTTTAACTTAATTTCATTGTCACTGGAGCTGCCTCAGGAATCACTCACATCCACAAAGAAAGGTTTAACTTTCTCGGATTACATGAATAACAAGCGTGAACTCTTTCAGAAGTAAATTCAACAAACCACAGAGTGTGTTGAAGTTCACTCCAGTGAATCAATGTTAAGCTTCTGTCGAGGCTAAACGGCGGATTTTCTTTAGCTCTGTTCATCTCCTGCTTACACATCAACATTTCCCAGAGATGAATAGAAGCAGAGACCCAGGAGGCTGTTGCTCCTCCTCCTGTGTTTGACACGGGGAAGCTCATTGCAAACACGCGTTCAGATCAGCAAGAGGAGTCGGGACACATTTGTCATGTGGCTGATTTTCATTTTTCCAGCAGTTAGAATCAAACGACTCACTCTTACAGGCATGCTTCCACTATGAAAATATTTGTTCCCGTCAAGCTAAGCTCATGCACGTTTCACTTTTCCGAGCCATTTGGTGGTAGAAACTTGTGCATTATCTAACCTCCTGACGGGGGAACTTTTAACATCCCTGAAAATCCCCAGAATAGCAGCATATACGTACTTGATACAATGATAGTAAAATGTTAATAATATTCTATTGGTAGTAATTGAAAGCTAGTTAAAAATAACGAGTGTCAAGGTTTACACTGGTCTGAATGAAATTGTTTCCCAGTTAGTTACAAGAAATACTGCAGGAATTCAACTATGAAAAAAAAAAAAGTAATGCAGCTTTCGTAGTGCTTCAAAACTTAAAGCTGCAATGCTGTCTTATCCTAAATCCTGATGAATTTAACTAACCATCTATCTTTGAGCCCAGGACATTGTCCACACAGGTCGTTTTTTCGACTATTTGAGAGAGATTCAAGCTCAACTTCTAAACCCTTTAGGAATGACATTCTCTATTAAATAGGTATAATTAGTAGTGTGAATAGGAACATTTTACATTAATTTGGTACACCTCACAGCAGTTTTCATTCACATCCTATGTGACCTCCCCTGGAGGTTTTCGCATCAGATGTTTTCCAGCCCTGAGTGGGTGGATGTTGCATTCCAAGCAGTTTGTAAAACGCCCTGCACTCCTCAAGTGTCATACTGTATGCACAATATATGCACAACACACTATTAGGATGACGTGATTTCCCAATCTGCAAGCTTAAACAATTTGACATTTGAAAGTAATCTGGCCTGTCAGAGCTGGACCGTCAGACGCACAGTTGCTTATCTACGCTAGCATGTGCTCAAACAGCTAATGAGGGTATTGACTCACTGCTCACGCTCTCATTGGAGATGATGGATGTCGCTGATTTGTGAAAACATCATCAGCGTGGGGATTGGATTTGATGGCGCCCTGCACGCATGCTTAGCAATAACTGACACAATGGCCAATCCTTCCCAGCATGTATCTGCTGATGTGGTTACATTTCATATGTATCGCCCAATAACACCAGGTTATACACATTGGTGCAGTTTTTTACCTATGCTCTCATTTGTTATTTGAGGTACCGGTAGATGTAGTGTATTCCAGCCGAATGCATACATTGTGTTGCTGCATGTAAATCAATGGTAGTGCAATAAAACGCTCTATAAGTAGAGAGTTTTACATCCAACTGGTGCCTCACATTTGGCTGCACAAGCATTCAAAGTATCCCGTTATCTTGTTCCAATGCGGAAATAAAAAAAAGTCCACTCTGGCAAAGTCTTCCCTAAGACACTTCAATCATTACCAGACAGTTTTAGTTAACGGCTTTGCTGCCGTTGCTTAACAGACTGATTAAAAAACCCTAATGTGTCTCATTGAGCTTGATGATCAAATGGGAAAAATGAATCAGTTTTACTGTGAAAGATAGATGGGATGTTTTATTTACAGAGGCCTCTGCAGAGGCGTGACTCTCGGGACGGCAATTAAGTGTGCCGGTGTAACATTTTGGACCAGAGTGATATATCGGTATCAGATAACTACTGGATGGTTGGACATCAGATTTGGTGCGTTGCATGACCCATAAAGATGGATTCTAGTGGGATGATCAATTGCCACCAAAGGGTCAAGCCTTTCCTAAATGAAATACTTCAGTTGACCTACAGCGTACATTTTTTATTTCATCTATTTCATTTTTCATCCCCCTTGTTATCAAAACAACCAGAATGCCTGCACCATCTTATCTGGCCGCCCCTGTGAATCCCCGGCAGCAGCGAGAGTGCGGGGGCAGAATTGATATGTTAGTCTCGTCTGCCTGACTCATTGAATATTTATCTGACTGAGGACACTGATGGAATCTATGGCCCCCGAAAACTGCCCCAAAAGATTAGGAGCCTAATTGTGCTATGTATTTATAAATCCAAATATTCAAATCTACACATTACTAGACTGACTTGATAAGAACAAGATCCATTGATTTTATTTTTACAGGGATTGAAGGAGGTCTGTCTTTTGCATTGGGGATTTGGTACATCCCTTGCTGTTGATCGATTAAATTACAGAATATTAACTTTAAGACTGTCAGGTTGAATATGAAGTGATAGAAAACTGGCGTTACAGTGTGCATCATTTGGCTAACTCCGCAAAGACACATCGTAAAATGTTGTTTTTATCCTACTAGTAAAAAAACGCCAAGGGTTTGTGTCGAGAATGGCGACGCTGGGGAAAAACATCTTTAATTCATGCTTAGCACATGTGGAAGGGGTGGTGTGTGGATATAAATCAAAAAGTAGGCAATGAAAGCATCACTCAAGCATGCACACTCTTTTTAGCCCAACTTCAAATGTGTTGTCACGCATTTTTTTAAGTTAAGTCAACAAATACCTTTGAAAGAAGTTGAACTAACTCGAAATGTGAACTTTACTAATACGTAGTGCAATGCACTGAATCCTTTAAGTAGAGAAAACTAGAAAAGCCCAGTGGGCATGCGTACACGTAAGCATGACCTGCTGTAAGCTTTACAGCAACTTTACTTCCATACTTCCATCACTCTTTCTACATTTTACGTCCCTTAAGGTTTGACGAGTGAGAATTGACACAGCCAGTTGGTCTTGATCTGCCCAATTATTAATAATTCATTAAAATAGTCAATGAAAACACATCGATTGGCTTTTTCTTATGGGGTTTTTCTAGATATATTGGTAACTGTCTGCTGCATACTGATGTGGCTTAACATTTCGGAGTGAGTGCTATCTGTGGCTAATACCTATTTACCCCACTTATGGTAACAAAAGCAAAGCTGCCTCTCCGTTATCCATCCGTATAGTTTCCTGGTGCGTAACCATCATGGTGGCCTCACAACTCCGTAGAACGCTTACGGACTTCAAGTCGCCCCCATTTGGATTGGTGAGAGGATGAGCCCAGAGGATTGATCTCCTGGTTAAACTAAAATAAACAGAAAAAGTGGGAGAAATGCCCTCCAATGGCTTTGGATGAAGGCATCAGCTAAATTACATGTGATGTAATGTAACCTAATTTAAAGCATAAACTGCAAATACAAAACTTACTGAGAATACTACACAAAGAATGTGAATGATAAAAGGCAAAAGCTTTAGTGTCACATCGGATGTGCATCAAGTCAGCAGGTTGAAATCGGAAAGGAGTGACAGCGCATGAGGATTTAACGACAAACTATAGCTAAAACTATGAGATAGTAAAACGTCGTAGTTAGACTGTAGAAACAATTAAGCTGCTTTAAGTCATTAAGACTGAGCCCTTTCTGTCAGGCCATCACAAGAAGGTCAACCAAGTATTAGAAACTCTAAATCAAGAGGAACAGACAAATATATTAACTGCTTGTACTATTTTAACTAGAGCGAAGTTTCAAAAACAGAAAGAATCCAATAAAAATAGTGATTCCTAAACTCATGGCTGCTTCATCCTGTCTTTTTGTTCCTGGCTGAATCAAAAAAAATCCAGGCGTTCAATTTGAGCCATGAAGCTTTGGAGGCATTAATCATGTCGACGGAGGT